GATCCCGGCCGTGAAAGCGTTCACAAATACATTGATATAACTCAATGCGTACTTTGAACCAGTACTGTGCATATACAGGCATGAGTTAACATACAATACTATGCATATTAAATTTGACTTCAGCAGTTGTCTCCATTCTTTAGGTAAAAATGGCTAGGAAAGGATTGTTAATTCCAAGGATAATTCTACTATTCACACAATTTTTTATGTTTATGGCCCTCTTGCTTTGCCACCAACTGTAGAAGAGCATTCTTGTACATGAAAATGCTCCTCTACAATAATTGCAGCTCATAGTGGTAAAACTAATGTTAGGGTGGGAAAGCTATGCATATTAAGATTGCATTGACATTTCCAGTAGTATATCTGTGAAGATTCTCAGTCATCCAGGTGAGGTTTTCTGGAAGTTAAGTCATGGCAACTGGACTTCTTTCTTGTTAGGTTGAAACATTTCACTGCTCTTCCAAGTAGCTTCTTCAGTCTGAGGAGAGTTGGTAGGAGATATCTGATATATCCTCCACATTGGATTCACTTCCTCCTGGTCTAAAAAGGCTTGTTAGAAGGACAAAGGACTGGGGGTGGGGTGAAGGAAAATCCCACTTCTGCAGTCCTTCTCCACCCATTGTCAGGAGCAATATAGTATATGCAGTCCAATGCAAAGAGGAGTGTTTGGAGCTCTACATTGGAGAAACCAAGCAGCCACTAAACAGGAGAATGGCCCATGCCAGGAGGGGCAATGGCTCAGGACCACAATCAGCAGTGTTCCTTCATTTGAAGGACAAAGGGCACTCATTTGATGACCAAGATGTATCTATTATGAACTGAGAAGATAGGTGGCTTGAGAGAGTGGTCATGGAGGCCATACATGGGCATATAGAAAATCCCTAACTCAACAGGGGTGGAGGCCTTAGATACAACTTGTCTCCTATTTATCATGTTGCCCTTTCATCCCTCTGTAGAAAGATTAGGACCACACAAACCAGAAAGACCACTGTTAAAGACTGTTAACAACCCATGACATGGTTGGAGAAAGACTGCAGAAGTGGGATTTTCACTCAACCCCCCATCCTTTATCCCTCGTAAAGCATCTATTCAGACCAGTGGGAAGTGAAACCAATGTGGATAATATAGCAGGGTCTCCTACCAACTCTTCTCAGTAGTTTGTACTACTTGGATGATTAGTGAAATGTTTCAACCTAATAAGAAAGAACCCTGGTTGCCATGACTGAAATTCCAGATTTCCAGTACTGATTAACCATAATGAAATTGAGGAATCCATATACTTCAGGGTCATATACTTATGGTTTTAAAATCATATACTTATGGTTTTATGTGCTACATTCTTCTAAATACCGGTGTGTGGCTCTAGGTGGTGTTTTGGTGACATAAACAGTTATGGCATGGTGTTTAGGATTTGGGAGAACACAGCCCAACCATTATTTGGCCTACATTCTTTTTATAGCAGTGTTTAATGCTCAACCCAGATATAACATGTTGCAAATAAATTATTTAATTTACATGCATTTAATATGCATTTATTGGAAGTATTTATTAATTTCTTTTCTGCCACCAGGATTCCCAAATCAATAACACATTATTATTTTTTAAAACAGTGAATGTTATATGTAATAACATTGCATGTAAAACAATACATTTACAAGATAATGAAGCCACTATTGTCTTGTTTTTCATTAACTGGTGAAGCAGCATTTTTTCCATCTAGGAATTCTTCCAAAATGCTTTGGAATCAGTCATTTTGGGGGAAGGCTGGCCATACAGTATTTGTATTTCGGGTGGTTTTTGCATCACCATCACAATCAGCATTATGCAATTAAAAGGCAATAGCATTACTTTCTTAAAATAGCATTCCAAAATCTAGGTTAATCAAATCCTCTTTGCCTGTTATTTTTAAAAGTCTAATTATTTGTTTATTTTTTAAAAATGGCTGAGGACCTTTTCAATGATTGACTTTTCTAAGTTTCAGCTTGTGTGGTAAATCACAGAAAGCTGTCACTGGGAGAAAGCATAAACCAAGGGATTGATAGTGCACAAAGTAAGGATAGTGAAAATGGAGAGCAACCCACCTTCATGACCAACCACAGATCTTGAAGCTGTCTGAAAGCTAATAATTCCTGCGACATTGTCATTGGCCAGAATAACCACCTTAACAGTATCTGAGCTGGGTAGAATACGACTGCCTCCTTCTGTGTTGATCAAACTGATTATAATGCTTTCATCATCCTCTGGTTCAGGGTCCTCTAAAATTGTAAGTGTAATTGTCTTTTTTGTTTCGCCTGTCAAAAAAAAATGAGGGATTTTTTTTATATCACTGAGAACTTTCTAGTTTATTTCAAAATTTTCTTAAGTTGTTCTGAAAAGTAGAACCTTCACTATGCAGCTTAAAAGATAACCGAAGCAATTAAAAAGTCTATGATTAACACAGAGTCAGTAGCCCAAGAATGAAAACAGGTGGGGTTTTCAGAACCTTCCTGAAGTTCAGCAAAGAAATATTCCAGTGAACTAAGATTAGAACTGATTCCATAGGTGTGGGATTGTCACTGGGAAAGTTCTGATCCACACTCACTGGCCTACATGCTCTTGTGGTAGGCAAGTGAGAAACGCTGATGTTGAACAGAGTGTACAAGAGCAAGCATGGGTGAAAGTTGTAATTTAATTAATTGGGTGCAGACTTTGATGGCTAGAACCAGCAATTTTAATCAAGCTTGGAAATTCACTAGGAATTGTAGTTCAGCTACATTGTTTTATCACTGTTAGGAGCTGACACCTCATACCCCACCAATATCTAAACAGCCACATTCTGTAATAACTCTCATTTCTAAACCATCTGGAAAGCAACCCTACACAGCGCACATTGCAGTTCAGCCTGGTTCTCACAATCACATGACTAACCAAAACAAGATTATCATCTTGAGATAAGGTGGCATTTAGCATATCATCTTAAACAGATGTAAATATTCCTGATCACCCTTGCTGGTCTGCACACTTGACCTCTAAGGGGGAGCACCATCCCATCTGAAACTAAATATATTCCTCCCTCCAGACAGACTTTCTCTACTCAAGAGTGCCTCTGTTTTACCTGAACTATACTTAGTTTGTTTGCTCTCATCCATCCTCAAGCCACCTCCTGCACCAAATGTTTGAGCATGGTCAATCCAGTTCAGTGTACTATTTATAAATATTTCTTTATTTTCCTTCCTGAACTAGTCATTTTTATAATTGCATTTATGTTCCTCCTAAGGTTTTGATAGCGCTGGAAGCAAAAAATAAATAAATGCTGGAAAATTGATCTCTACCAAATAATTGTTTTAATTTTGGTTTATTTCTATTTATACTAATCTATGACTGCAATCAATCCTTATTTGTTGTCCTAACTGCACCATAATTTGAGAAAGAAAACCCCTCCGGCTATGGTGCTATAACACCCCTATGGTGCTATAACACCCTTGTAAGCTGCGTCAGCATTTCAGTTAGTAGATGGACCTAAAGCCAACATTTATATGGGCTAAAACAAAGGTTATGTTTCAACTGCCATCATGAAGGGATGAGGGACACAGCCTAGCCTCCTGAGGGAAGGAGTTCCATAGCTTTGGAGCAGTAATGGAGCAACATCTAATTGAAAATGGAGGCTACCATAATTTGGACACATCATGTAAAGATAGATTGATGAACAGAAAAAGCCAGACCTTTGAATTTGTACGAGCTGAGCAAGCTTTCCTGAGAGTACCTTTTGGAGGCCACTAATTTATAGTCATCATAAAATTATTTGATGGCATATAATAACTACATTGAAAATTATCATCCTTGAGACCTGAAATATTTCAAGATAATATGAAAATTAAAAGCCATGCTTTATTTTGCTGCACGGGGAGGTGGGAAACTGCCAGGTGGGCTCATTCCCACATTGGCATGATGATGATAAGGGATCCCAGCCCTGCACGGTGACCGGTAAGTGGCTGGTTCTGGGGGGAGGGAATGGGTCTCCTTGGCTCCTGTGGTGCTGCTATTCATATCCCTAGGGATACGAATATGAATAGCTCATGTGTAATAGACACTCGTTTACCAGGTTGTTGAAATAGAGATATTTAAACAGAGATACTTGAAATGTTGCCATCAACTGGACGTTAGAGTAATATTAATTCAACTTGAGACTAAATGTATATTCACTCTAGTCATCTTGAGACTAAGTGTGTCAAGTGGTATGTTTCCATCTGTTGATTTGCATAAACTCTTGTACACTCACGTAGGGACGTGGTGGTGCTGTGGGCTAAACCGCAGAAGCCTGTGCTGCAGGGTCAGAAGACCAAGCAGTCGTAAGATCGAATCCACGTGACGGAGTGAGCGCCCGTCGCTTGTCCCAGCTCCCGCCAACCTAGCGGTTCAAAAGCATGCAAATGCAAGTAGATAAATAGGGACCACTTCGGTGGGGAGGTAACAGCGTTCCGTGTCTAAGTCGCACTGGCCATGTGACCACGGAAGACTGTCTTCGGACAAAACGCTGGCTCTATGGCTTGGAAACGGGGGTGAGGACCGCCCCCTAGAGTCGAACACGACTGGACAAAAAAAAATGTCAAGGGGAACCTTTACCTTTTACCTTGTACACTCACAGCTTATGATCTTCAGTTAAATGGATGTCTCATGTTTCTTCCTGCATGTGCTTCACATAGGTCATAAGGTTGTCACACATAACAATGATTGTACAGCAGACTAGAGTTTTGTACTATTATTAATTGCCCTCTCATATTTCTTACCATCTGCAAAAATCAGGATCTCCCCAACACCTATGAAATCCAGATTTGGGGTAGCTGTGCCACCAGCTATGCTCCACTCCACTGTCACCTGTCCCAGACTACCTTCCATTCTGTGAATCATTAACTGCACAGAGTTCTGAGGCCATTCTTGAACTTCCACATACAGACCATTTTCCGTTGTGTTGGGACTGATGCTGTAGATCACAAACACACCAAAGGCATCCCCATTCATTTGGATGACAACTGTAGAAGTGTTTGGCTGTCCAATGACTGGTTGATTTTCAGTGCTGGCAGAGATATTAATCAGAGCAACGTTTAACAGGGATACAATAAATTTCTCATCCAGTTCTGGAAAATCATCAGGAAGGATAGTAACTGTGAGATTTGCAAACTCTGTTCCTTCTGCCATTACTATCCAATGCCTTGGAACAGAGTCATAGTCACTGCCAGCAATTGCTTGTGTACTCAAAAGAGAGGATAAAGAGGTAAGGTTTTTCTTGTACGTCCAGAATCCCAAGTTATAATTTATTCGACCATCCCAGGATGTTACCCAAAGGCACAGTGGAAGTTCAGAGGCACTGGAGGAGGAAAAAGCTGTACATGCTTGCTGTTTCAGGCACAGAGTTGCACAAGCATGCAGGGAGTCATTTGCTAAAGAAATATTCACTCTAGTCATCTGAATTTGGTCCGGAATCCCCTGCACCGGAGCTTCATAGTATGAAAATATATCCAGGCCTTGCTCCGTAGCAAGAGCTATGATGTCAATTTCAGAAGTGCTGTAGAAGATCTGTAGTTGGCCAAATCTTCCACCACTACAAATGGTCACAAACAAGAAAATAATGTTAATAAAGAAAATTATCACTGAAACAATGCAGTACTTCTATTCAGGGGGAAATTGCAAATAATTTGAACAGAACTTTCAAAATGAACCCATATTGTCCCATTATTCTGAAAGAGCTTGTTTTTCTTTAACATCAACCTCCACTTCCCCACCCAAAAAAACAAACAAACAAACCAAGCACTGGGATAAATACTGGCTCTTCTTTCACAGTAAGGGATAAACATGATACAAAGGAGGAATAGGCTCATTTTACTATCCAGTGCACCACCTCTTTTCCAGGTGGAGCTCTCCTGGGTAGTAATCAGATGCCAGGAAAGACAGCATCCTTCTCTTGCCTTATTTGTTCTACAATCCTGGTGTATGGATCTTTATTGGGGAGTTCTGGAAGTTGTAGTCCAAAATAAACAAGAAACCAAGCTTGCACACTACGGTTTCTACAGCTCTTGATCTGTCTGTGTTTTAGCTCACCTCATTTAAATGGACAATTCTAGCCTCCCAAACTACCCTTCCTGTCCCCTGCCAAGCCTCACATTTGTATGCTTCTCCTGTTCCTGGTTCATTGCTAAATTCAGCAAAAAATTGGTAGTTCAGAAGTATATCATTAGACATATGGCACCACATAAACTTTTTCTGAGACTTTGAAATTAGGCATGGACTAAAAATCCTGAACAGATAAAGAAATAGACAGATATTCAAAGGCCATTCATGTAGTGGCACACTGTTATTTCTTAAAGAGGAACTAGTAACTGTCAGACTTCTTTCTCCCAATGGGAGAGGACATGAATGCCCAAGATGCAAGTTCAGCATTAACATAAATGGATGTCTAGTATAACAGATCTATAGAGTCTGTGTCCTGAGTACACTCCTGTACTGCAGTGAGTCCTGGATCCTTTGTGCATGGCAGGAGAGGAAGTTGAACACGTTCCATATGCGTTGTCTCCGATGCATTTTTGGCATCACCTGGCAGGACAAAGTTCCAAATAGAGTTGTCCTAGAATGAGCTGGAATTTTTAGCATGTATACATTACTGAAACCGCAACGTTGACATTGGCTTGGGCATGTTGTGAGAATGGCTGATGGTCGGATTCCAAAGGATCTCCTGTATGGAGAATTAGTGCAGGGAAATCGCCCCAGAGGGAGACCACAGCTGCGATACAAGGACATCTGCAAGCAGGATCTGAAGGCCTTAGGAATGGACCTCAACAGTTGCAAAACCCTGACATCTGAGCATTCAGCCTGGAGGCAGGCGTTGCAACATGGCCTCTTCCATTTTGAAGAGACCCTTGTCCAGCAGGCTTAGTCAAAGAGGCAGTCCCGAAACCAGCAAACTCAAGGGAGCTGGACGGGGACAGATTGTATTTGTCTTCAGTGTGGAAGGGATTGTCAGTCTCAAATTGGCCTTCTCAGCCACACTTAGACGCTGTTCCAAGATCTCTATTCAGAGCACGCTACCACAGTTCTCTCGAGACTGAAGGATGCCTATTGGAACTGGAATAACTGGAGCATAAATTCACATGTATATTTCAATTAATACTACCACTACATGAACACTTACTTGAAATCAGGGAACATGTCTCAGAACAAACATGCATGGGAGTAGACTGCATCCAAACTGTACCCAACTTTCTCATTTGAACCTTACAGTAAAACATAGTACATAACTAAGCAACTCCAAACTCAGTTGAGGCAATGCATTTTTACAGTGCCTTCCTTTCTCTATTTCAAGGGTGGATACTTCATGGGCCTTTGGGTATTTTTGGAATGTAGTCTTCATCAGATTTAGCTAGCAAAGCCAACACAACAAGAGTTGTAGTTGAGGGGACCACACAGTCTACCCCTATTCTGTTGAGAAAACATACTAAGGCTGCAATGCAGTAATTACTTATAATAGGAAGTTCCACTGACCTTAGAGAAGCTTGCTTCTGACTAGACATGTATAACAAATACTGCACTGTAAGATGGTTGCATTCTTTTCTGCAAGCATAGCTTGCTTGTTTCTCTAAACTCTCCCTTTTTCTCTACTTCTTCATTCCATCCTATTTACTCCTATAATGGTTTGGTTTCAGTTTGCCTGGTAACAGTGGTGAAATCACTTTTTCCCATGTGTTCTGCTTTTATAAAGCTACTCAGTTAGCTTGCCATCATAATTTCTTAGAAGCAAACATATCAATACAACAACAGTGGAAAAAAAACAATAAGCTGCAGGCAATACATTTTTGAAAATAAGGTATAAAGCAGACCTTCTCTTCACTGTTATGTTTGCAACTGAGCTCCTTTCCAGTGGCTCTTGAACTCGATACAAAGCTTGGTGAAAGGAAACTATGCCATATGGCTTATCGTTGGCAGGAATTATAACATTTGCCACTCCATCTGGTCCAATAGTACCTCCATTGGAGGCATGAGATAATTCCACAGTGATGACCTATAAAGTATGTTGGATAGTACAGAACCATTTTGTTCCAAACATTAACAAGACATCAATGGCAAATATTTATTAGAAAGGTAAGATTATTGTAAATTGTTGCTCATCACAGTTATATCATAAATTAAAACAAGGGACTAAATCCAGTTTTCATTATACTATCATTTTACTGTTCAGTAAATTTGCCTCTTACATGCAGAGTCTCTTCAGTAACTCCCATGCTCAATTTTGGTTTTTCTTTTGCCATGTCTACAAAAGATAATTATTGAGCACCACCAATATGGATTTTCTTCATAAGTAGAGATGGGCACAAATAAAAACAATGAATCATTAAAATTTATTCAAAAATCACTAAATCATCAATTTGTATTCATATGAATCAATGCCTCAACAAATACAAATCAATGAATTTTTAACTATCTTTGATTTGTTGATTTTTGGCTATAAAACAGCCCTACAGGCACCTAGTGACACCAAAATTGCTGGGAGGCCTCCTCTAACTCTCCTCTATAATTTCTTCAAGTTTGGTGAAGATTGGGTTTCAGAGGTCCAAGTTATATACCTGCAAAGAGGATCCCTTGAGGAAAGTTCACCCCAAGTACCTAGACACACCAAAAGACACAGAGAAGCCTCTACTAACTCTCCTATACAATCCATCCCAGATTTGGTTTCCTCAAGCCAGTTGCTAAAGGACACTTTCCTATGGGGACTCACTTCGTGGGTGCATAACTTGTCTGAAATCCACACCAAATTTGGAGGGATTGTAAAGGAGAGTTAGTAGAAGTATCTCTGTCATTTTGGCGTCTCTAGGTGCCTGGGGAAAACTTTCCTGGGGTTGGCCCTGCTTGTGAGTATATAACATGGATGTCTGAAACCCAAACTTCACCAAACCTGTAAGGCTTGTACAAGAGACTCAGAGGAAGCTTCGCTGCGGAAATGGTGTCTCTGGGTTCTTGAGAGGCTGTTTTATAGGGTTTAAAGTTTAAAAACATCATAAATTTGTAATTTCTCATTTATCGACCTTGACAAATCACAAATCAAAATAAATCACTATTATTCTTATTCATGCCTATCTCTGTGATTGTAGCTCTACTGAATACTCAATGGGCAAGCTCTGGTATTTAATGCACATTCTACAATCTTCAATATGCTGTAAGACTGAGATATATAAAGAGCAAAATGAAGAGTGTGTGGCTCATGGATGCAGTATGTGTTTTGCAGACAGGAAATCTCAGATTCAGTCCCTGTAAACACATTTTTAATGAAGGAACATATACCAGATAACGTAAAATATCTGAAGCCTAGACTCTGGAAACCCATTGCCAGCCCTAATAGTCAATGGTAGACCAAGTGGTCAAACAGTATGATAAAGCAGTTTCCTCTGTACCAATGATATGATTTTCTATGCATGCCTGCATGTGCACACAAAATACATGCAACAGATCAACAGATAGTCAGAGAAACATGAGCAAAGTATTAGCCAGTGCTGTCTCAGTGGATACTATCCAGTCACTGAATTTGGCCTTTTCTCAATAATAATCACTAGAAGGACCATCATTATTAGTCACAGCGCTTAACTGAAATACAGTAACACACTAGTAAGGACAAGTTACTGAAATTACTGATATCAATAACTTCAAAAGGGAAGTTATCATAAGACAATGGGTTAGATCTAGATTTGTACACAGTAGAGTCTAGATGATGCTGGAGAAAGGTGATGAGTATCTATGTTTGCTAATTCCTCCTTTCTGCTAAAACCTTTGAAAAACTAAGTCCTATGACAGCCCCATAACATTTTGTTGGATTCTTAAACTCACCTCTTCTATTTCTGGAACATCGTCAGCCACAATTTCCAAAGTCAAGTTCTTCATGGTTTCTCCAGGTAAAAAATGTATGTCACCTGAAAATGCTTGCAAGTCACTATCAGCAAGTTGCCCATCAGAAGTAGCAATCCATGTAACAGTCACATTGCCAAGTGTTCCAGCATTGCGAATAACTGGAAGATCTACCTTGACTGCATTGGTCTCAGGCTCTTCAATGGTGATTTCAATGATCTGGAAAACTAGTAAAATTTGAGAGCTTTATTCCATCATTGGCAGGGTAAGGTTTTTAATACATATTTTTAATTCTAAGTGGTATTTATGGAACAGAATGCTAACAAGAAGTGGATTTAACAACCTCAAGTATAGGTTCATGGTGGATACATTTACATTAGAAAAAAGGCAGACTCTGGCAGCAGCAGATTATAGATAAATGCTTACATACTAAAGATACAGTGCCAATTTGGCAGAATCAGGATCCCCTGCTTTAACTCTTAGCAGGCAAAAATTAACGAGTATGCATTTCCTGGATCAGAGCCTGCAGAGATGCTGCTGAAAGAGACGCTACATCTACTAAGTGTTGTATAAGAATCTTTAGTCACAGAAGTGTTGATGGAACATCTAAGTGAGAAAGTGCCCCATACGGTACTATCCCAGCCCTAAGTTCAGCTGGATAGGTGCTCTGCTAGTCCAGGACACTAATTCCTATCCTTCCTGCTCCAGTTAATAGTGATCTCTCATCTAGTTTCAGATGTGAACAACAGGCCATGCTTTTTAACCATTAGGCAAAATATGGGACATTTAAGGCCCACCAGGTCTTGTTTTATGTAGAATCCACACAGAACTAAATCTACACTTACAAGGTAAGCATTCTGCAACAGTGTTCCTTGAGCAATTGTAAATAATTTTGCAGACTTACAGCCACTTGCTATGTAGAGGGTTAGGTTTTTCCTCTACAAATGACAAACATGGCTGGAACAAAAAAAAAATCTATGCAGACTTACAGCCACTTGCTATGTAGAGTTAGGTTTTTCCTCTACAAATGAAAAACATGGCTGGAACGAAAAAAAATCTATCCTCAGTAATCTGAGCCTACCCGGCAGTTAAGATCTAGCCATAATCCGTATTGGAAGGCAATTCTCAGGTCGAAAAGTTCTTAAGTCGAATCTGCATTTCCCATAGGAATGCATTGAAAACCATTTAATCCGTATCTGCTCTTTTTGTCCATAGAAACTAATGGGAAGCTGCTATTCCGCCTTCTGCCACTAGAGGGGGATATTTTTCTTCTTTCCTTTTAACCTAAGATGACTTAGCTTTCAAAAAAAGGAAAAAAAAGAGTTCGTAACTCGAATCTAAGTTCGTAAGTCGAGTCCATATATTTCTATGAGAGCGTTCGTAAGTCGAAACGTTCGTATGTCGAGCCGTTCGTAAGTCGAGACCCCACTGTAATCTATTGATTCTTTTCTATTGGGATACATTTCCTCTTAGATCCTGTTCCGAGAGCTGTAATAGACCAGCTGAGAGATTGTATTTATTTTATTTTATTTGGGCTAAAGTCACATTTTCCTTTTGGCCAATATAACTATGTAGTATGCCTATTCTATGATTACACAGCATGGATTTTCAAATGAACTCTTGGGGGTGGAGGTTTGCAGAACAGTCTCCAAATTTATGCCCAGACAGCGAGACATAACTCACCATTAATGTCATGAAATATCCTGAAAGAATATTTAAAAGGGGTGTGAAAATGGCCAGAATCCAACTCAGTACATATACCAGTGTTAAATCCATTGGTGTAATTTTTAATGGCATATTCCTGCTAACTAGGAAGTCACGAGTTGTATTTCCTGTTGCATGTCAAGGTGTGAGACTACATGATAAGAAATAAAAACCCCAACTGCTTAATTAATGGCAATTTTTTGCCGGGTTTCTTAGTAATGAATTTAATGGTGTTGGGCATAAGGAATAGGATTCTGTCAGCTCTTTGTTAAATCAGGAAACTACTATGTTTTAAGGTACCATCTTACCGAAAGATCCGAAGGGGTCATCAGAAGCCTCAATGGTTATAACTGCCTGAGTCAAGCTTCCAAGCAAAGCTCCCCCTGTTGTTTGATTGAGCAGCTGTACAAGAAATGACTCTTCGACTTCAGGGTTGATGTCGTTGATTATATAAATTGGCACAGCTTTACTGGTCTCCCCTTCTAGCAAGACAACATCAGATGAGGCTACGCTGTAGTCTTCACCTGTGGATATAAACATTACAAAGATGCCTAAGTAATATTTGAAACAAATGCCCATTTGTTGTACTCTCCTTACCCATTATGAAAAAATATGATGATGCAGTTTCTTTGTGTGAGCAAGAAACATAGCTGAACAAAAGTAGTTTTTTGAACTACATCTCCTAGAATTTCCCACTTAGTGTGGTCATGGGATCTGGCAACAATGAGTTTCTGCACATTTCTGAGAGGTTAGTGAGGAATATGCTTGAAATAACAGTGACAGTTATGCTCTGTATTAAGAATGACACATCCCTACATTTCAAGCAGACCATTTCTATATTGCAGCTGCCAAGACTTCCCCAAATAAGAGTCACTGAAAATGATAAAATGTAGGCCATAAACACGTAGGTCAAAAACAGCGGTTTCGAATAATGCACAGAAGGTGGTAATACAGGAATACTCTTATACATATTTATTTTTACCTTCATGCTTCATCATTCAAACAAGCCTGCTCTGGTTTAATATAAAAATAAATAAACAGAATATCAGAATGGTAATTGGTGTTCATGTAATATCGCTTACTCACCTTTGCTTTGCGACCCGCGGATCAGCTGTTCGGTGGCTCCAAAATGGCCGCTGGAAGCCCCGAAATGGCCACGCGCAGCGTTTTCGTGCCCTCAGTAAGCGAGGGGAGGGTGCGAAAATGGCTGCCAGCCATAGGAAAACATCGCTGAACTGTGAGTTTTCAGCTCATTTGGGTTTTCTTGATCCGTTCAGCGATGTTTTCACATAGCGAGGGTTAATCTGGAACGGATTAACCTCGCTATGCGAGGCACCACTGTACTTGTTATTTATTAGAACTAAGCTCTCTGGTTTAATATAAAAATAAATAAACAGTAGAATATCAGAAAGGTAATTGGTGTTCATGTAATATAGCAAGGACTGTGTGCATTGTGCACTAAAAGAAACAAATCACCAGGCAACTGGTTGTCTATTTCAGGTCTTCTGCCCAAATATTGGGGCAGGGTGGGGCAAGGAGCTGACAAAGATCTGTTGGTAGCTTCACTTCTCCTTCTAATATAATTTGAATTGCTAGAAGTAATGAATGCCTGAACAGAGCTCATGTCAGGTGATCTCATAATTATGGAATATATAAATATAAGCTTAAACATAGCTTCATTCTTTGTCTTATCTACATTATAGAAACCTTTGTGACATTATTGTTACTTGTTATTTATTAGAACTAAGCCATATTTTTGCTACATTTTCTCCATTCATAATAATTAATCCCCACCCCATCTTACCAGCAATTGCTGTTATTGGCACTGCTTTAAATTTCACTGAAACATCTGCAAAAATCCCCCCTGTTCTTGTGACATTGATTATTGGTCCAACATAATGTTCAGCTATCCGCACATCCAGTGCTGAGAGCTGTAGTGTTCCAAAAGCATCATCGTTGGCATTGATAATGATGTGAGCAATTGTATCACATGTAGATCCAAGGCGAGGAGAATTGGAAACTGAAACATATAATAGGCATATTAGAGATCCCTGCATTACATATTTTTAAATGTCTCAAGAAGCAGCACTTTACCCTAAAGACATGTACATAAACATAATCCAACTCAAACTTCATTTACTGCATATTTTTGTATGAAGTTGTAAAAGCAATACCTTAGAAGAATATGTGGGGTTCATGATTTATATTGTAAAATAACTATGAAAAATTACTAGAAAACAGTCATATATCACATACAATATTTATTGCAACACTCAAATACTACGGAAAGATAAACCAGTTACAATCAGTCAGACTGACATAAAATAACGGTTTAAAACAGCTAAAATTAGGGCGAGAGACATTAATAAATATACTTGCATGTTAGTTATCTTTAAGTCAGTACTTTAGATGCCTTTGAAACAGCACTTTACTTATGAGATAGGATAATCAGTTACAGGTGGTATTTGACTGTGATTGTATTAAGATACACTAAAATTAGTGATTTTATCAGATTACATTCATGTTGTTATATTTTCGGAGCTCAATAATGGCTTTAGTCCAGAGTCCTTAAATTTCTCCCTGCATTTAGCTGTCTTTATTGTGAATAGGGAAACATTTTGGATCACATATTGGTTTCTCTCTTGAAGCAGGGTGAAGAATATTATGAGTTACATCTTCCACAGTTGGTAACCCACACCTACCTTGTCTGTCTTGACAATGGAATCTCCTCAATTTCATCATTGATTCCATTTGGTCTAAACATAATCTGTTGAAGACTTTCCAGAGTTCCATTTTCATAGGATATGATAGATATTTTTCAAATTGATGCAGATGTTTTATACTCACTAACCATTTGATATTTTTCAGGATTATCACTTAGGTCAGTTTGTGTTCCAACATCTAGTACTCTTTGTCTAAATATATATTTTTGTATCATTACTTCTTGAGGTAAATGCTTGTATGGAAAACCATATTTTGGGAGCAGTGTTCATAGAGAGTTACCTTCTGTTCCTCTAAACAGATTTTCTAATTAATTTTACACCAATAATTGACCATCCCGGCATGAACTGTACCAGCAATCATTCTCATCCCCAATTCCACTCTAATTAAACAGGGTGATGTAGATTTTGAGGCTCCCAATATCATGCAGAGAAATCAGTTTTGAACTCTCTCAATATTGTGGTCAGCAAAACCTCAGATTTCTGCACCAAATATTAGCATTGGCATTACCTTTGCCTTCAAGATCTTTAAAATTGGGTGTAATGTGCCAGATAAGTAAAATTCACCAGTCCAGTCAATGACTGCAGGCAGAAAGTTGCTTTCAATTCACTTTTCTTTATTTGTAAAGACCATGCTCCTGAGGTTAAGAAGATTATACCTAGATCACAGTAGGGTTTTACTTGGTCTAGTTCTTTTGCTTTTATGTGCCATCTATGTACTTTTTTCTATTTAGCAAAGACTACAATTTTGGATTTTGCATTATTAAATGACTAGGCTGTTTTCTACATAGGAAGAATTAAATTGTCTTAGCTATCATTTTAGTCCAACTTGTGTAGTAGACAATAAGATCATGTCATCTGCATAAAGTAAAATATTTACAGACTTTTCTAACATTTTGAGCAAGTTTAAGTCTTGGTTTTGCAGGGTTCTGACAATATTATTTATATTAAAATTGAAAAGAAATGGGGTTAAGATACAACCCTGATGAGTACTCTTGTATGTTGGAATCTGATCTGAGACAGCATGCATGATGCCAGTTCAGATCCTGAGACTGGTTTCAGAGTAAAGTGTATTCATTAAACCCAGCAGCCTCAAATCAATGTTGGCATCGAGTATTTTCTCCCAGAGTTGTTGACTGTTTGTAGAATCAAATGCTGCACTGAGGCTGATGAAGGCAGAATAACGCTGCCAATTTCTCCTCGTATACAGTGATGCCTCACAAGACGAGCGCTTCGTTTAACGAAGAAATCGCATCACGATGAAGATTTTGCGATTGCAAAAGCGATCGCAAAACGATGTTTCCTATGGGTTTTTTTCGCTTTGCGATGATTGGTTACCTGCTTCGATTAACCAATTATTGCAAAGCGAAGATTTTCGCACAGCTGATTGGCGGTTTCAAAATGGCCGCCGGGTAAAAAAATGGCCGCCCACTGTTTTCTGGGATGGATTCCTTGCTTCACGGGCAGCAAAAATGGCCGCGCTATGGAGGATCTTCACTGGACGGTGAGTTTCAAGCCCATAGGAACACAGTAATCGGGTTTTAGCGCATTTCTATGGGCTTTTAAAAATCGCTTTACGATGTTTTTCTTCTACTGTGATTTCGCTGGAACGAATTAACATCGTAATGTGAGCCACTACTGTATTTAGTTATCAGGTGCTGCAGGATAAAAAAAATATTCAATGTAGATTGGCCCTTCCTAAATCCTATTTGTTCTTTGGCCATCAAGGCGTGATCTTCTGCCCAGTCTTCTGCTTTTTCCAGGAGGTACTTTGCCTAAATTTTCACTGGGATATCAATCAGTCTGATTGGTCTATATTTCTTAGGCAAAGATAAAGGTTCCCCTTGACATTTAGTCCAGTCGTGTCTGACTCTAGGGCGTGCTGCTCATCCCTGTTTCCAAGCCATAGAGCCAATGTTTGTCCGAAAACAGTTTCCATGGTCATGTGGCCAGCGTGACTAGATACAGAATGCTGTTATCTTCCTTCCAAGCTATTTATCTACTCACATTTTTACATGCTTTCGAACTGCTAGGTTGGCAGGACAAGTGATGGGAGCTCACTCCGTCACATGGCTTCAATTTTACAACTGCTGGTCTTTGACCCTGCAGCACAGAGGCTTCAGCAGTTTAACCTGCAGCGCCACCACGTCCCTCTATAGTTCTTAGGATACTATTAAACAAAAAGCCTGAGATGGTTCTGTCATGAACTCCAATCAAAGCTTCTAAGTATTCATAAGATAAACCAGTGCTAAAGCATGAGTTATATATTCAAAAGCTTAGAAGAGTCCATTTTTGGATTACAATTTTCAGATTGTCAATTGCAGCATGTCCACTAGCCATGTTGGCAAAAGGATGCTTGGAGGATTAATGCAAAAAAGAGAGTTTCTCTGTTTTATTACCTATGATGACTAAATGGGCTTTCCATACTCAGAGACAAGTCATATCTAAATGCCAGAGGCTGACTGTAACATTACACCCTGGAAAGGCTATTACATTTGCTGCCTCCTTGTGAGCATCACAAGAACATCTACTTGAAGAGGACAGGAAACTTAACTCCCTTGGTATCTGTCTGAAAGAGCTGAGATGGAAGGGAGGTCCCCTTCTGCTGATAAAAATGTGTTCCATCATGCAGGGGAGTGGAAATCTATTTTATAGGCATCCCATGGAAAGCTTTCAGGTGAAAATCTGCTGTTGGTAATGTTCCCACTGGTAGAACACAGCAGAAATCTGCCAAATAAGGCATAGGAGGTGAGGGGAGAACTGGATTAGAAAGGAGACTCAGATTTGCTTGACACCAAGCACATTCCTCAGCCAGGGAGACCCAGAATCTAGTTCCCTTAGAGTGTCACCTTAGAAAAGGAATATCTGGCCTTCCCTGAAGTATCTGGCAAGAAACAAAGACCAAACATTGGCCAAAACACCAGGATAGGTCCCATACACCCACATCTCTTGCTCTGTCAAGGAGGTACAGCAGGGCTTTGGAAGTGAGAGATAAACTACACTGATGGACTTCTCGTCTGATCCATCAAAGGGCTCTTCTTACATTCTTGTGTTCTCATTTCTCCAGAGTTTAAGAGAAACGAGATTTCACTCTCAATTACGGTATCTGGGAGTCCTATGATGAAATATACATGACAGTTCAATTTTCCCACAGAGCTTCACACCTGAAAGCAATCTACTTAAGACGAACTAAAGGAAGTGTAATTATGACCTGGGGGACTTTGAAGTGTAAATCAGTACATAATCTTTCGAAGTTGAATAATTAATGTCCATATTTCCAGGCACCCTGAACAGGCACATTTCCCTAGATCATACAGTGAAATCTATATGAGAAGCAAAACATGGCAAAGGTCATGATATTATAGTTATGCAGCATTCTGGAATGAAAAGTAATCCAACCAAGCATTTAATTAAAACCAGAAAGAACTGTATTCATTCTTATGTGAGGGAATTTACCTCTTTGCAGTAACAGCAAAGGGCCTATGATCATTTTAAATAACAACTAGTTTTATTTCTCATAAACTTTCAGACACTGCAGCCTACCTCAGCTCATGCATGAAGTCTTATGCCAGATATCAGTCTCCAAAAGCAAGTCTTCCCTGCTGTTACAAAAACTAATATAAGTCTCCTCATCACCAGTCCTGAAAATCTCCACCTATAGTAACACGTGAGGGGCCCTGACTGCTTTCCACCATGGTGTGGGCAATTGACAGATCTCCATCTAGAGCCCACCACCTGGCATTCAAGTGTATACAGAAAACCTCAGCAGGCCCAATCCAGATTGATAACTGGGGCTGGTCACAGGGATCACACAGCCCCAGTTACAGCTGCTCCACTGGCTGCCAATCTCTTTCAGGGTAGAATTCAAAGTGATGATTCTAACCTATAAAGCCCTGAATGGCTTGGGCCCAAGCTGTCTTAAGGACCACCCTTTATGAACCTGTCAGGGTGATAAGATCATCAGAAGAAGCCTTCCTCTCGATCCTGCCACCTTCACAGGTGCCTTTGGTGGGAACACAGGAGAAAGCCTCCTCTGTCGCTGCTCCTAGATTTTGGAACTCCCTCCCACAGGAGACTAGGCTGGCCTCATCTTTACTGTCCTTCCGCAAGCATGAAGAGTCCCAGCAGGACCATTATCAGCACATTCAAGTACCACACTAATATTGCTGTTTATTTAAATTTTTTAGTGGAAACAATGTCATTTCTTTACCAATTCTTCATTTCTAATGTGAAATTATAAGAGTATCTACCTGACTTGCTACAGCTACCTTCTTTCTTAGCAGTCTATAAGCTTGTGGTAAACTGACTCCTTGACATAAACCAGAAGGTTCTACTATTGCACTTGTCATAGGCAGAAAAAAAGGCAGCCCACACAAAGTATCTATATATACTACCATTTAGTATAGTTATATACAAGGAAATGTGACCTGAGTTAGCGAAATGAAAATAAATTGAGCTGGTGAAATCTGGAAATATAAACGGAGTCTTACTTGGCCGATTCTGGACTCCTTCTGTCAAAGTAACACCAAGCAGCTCTACGAACACAGATTCCGATTTCTCTGGTTCACTGTCATCCAGAATAGGGAGCTCTATGGTAGCCTCACTTTCATTGGCTGCAAAGATTATAAATCCTGCAATAGGCAAGTAGTCTTGTTTTGATGTTGCTCTGGCAATGTTGGACGGCAGACAGGATGCCTCATCCTCATCACCGATGGTTCGATATGTAACCATAACCACTCCCATGAGACCTTTCAGTCTTACTATTGTAAGGGTGACATTCTTGGTCGCTTCCTCAACTTTTATTGGCCTGTTTTTCTCAGAGAAAATCAAAAGCCCATAGGGGTCATCATTGGCAAGAACAGTCAGTGTAGCATTGATGTGAACTCCTAGACGTCCACAGGAAACATTGGTGATCCAGACCGAAAATATCTTGTCCAGTTCTGGAACTTCATCAGGCAAGATCCATACCATTAAGATTGCTTGCGTTTCCTCTATATTGAAAGTTATGTTGCCAGATGTTGCTGCTAGATCCTCAGTATCATCTGGCAGTATTAACCAATGCAAAGTTACTTGGGACAAGGCACCTTGATTTCTGAGAACCTGAAGAAGAAAGCAGTAAGTCGTAACTCTTGCATCATGAAGAACAATGATCTTTTCTACCTAAGTACCCAGTCCCAAATGGCCCCATGACATTTTATATGTGACATAGAGGAACAGTGAACAAGACAGTTCCATGTTGGCTAGTTAGGTCTGTTGGATATATTGAAACTTACATATAGAGCCTTTAAAGAACTTGCAGCTGGGAGGAACTTTTCTGAACTGGGGTGGATGTCACTTAACTCAGTAGAAGTCAATTGTTTCCTCTCTACCTCAGATTCTTTTTCACACCTAATTTCCAGTCAGGGTTCTGTCGGGGTTAGCAATGGAGTCTATCAGAAGTTGACAGACTGAAGTGTTCTGACAGCTGTGTAACCAGTCAGATAGCCACTTAAGCTCAGTGATGTAACAAGTTAACATTTTTACACAATATAACATTTGCTTTTATCTATGAAGAACTGTAAGTAGACAGGAACATTTTATTCTTACTCATCACCACAGTCTCTGAGTGAATGTATTGCAACACTAAGTGCCAGTTAAGGTAAACTTACAAATGAGGGGTGTTCTACTCTAGGTTCTTGACATAACCATTTTATCCACTGGCTAATTAGGATGAGCAAGTATTTATTTTTAATTTATGCTACACTCAAGTTCCCCACACACTCTGCCACCAAGAAGGTCAGGACACAAAAAATCTGAGAAAAAACTGTCAGACACTAAGAACTGTTAAACACTACTAATGTGTCCTCACATGTTTTTCATCAGATACTAGTATCTGCTCCTCTTTGTGAGGTAGAGTCTTGCCTTCTATAAATAGAACCTGTATTTGTGTAAATTGGCAGAAAATTAATCAGTTGATAGTTCTGTAGTGGTGTAGAAAACTGTGTATTCTACCCGTAAACTCACATGACCTGATCATAATATGCTAGGTACTTACATATTTTGTCTCAGACACATAGACTTGCACATCCTTATCCTTTTTGTCAGGCAATTCAAAGAACTTACCTTTATTATATAGGAATACTATTTAAATCATACATAATGATATATTATGTATATATTATCAATGCAGAAATGATCACCAAGATGACTCCTCTTCTGTCTTTCAAGAATTTCTGTAACTGTGCTTAAGCTATAAACATAAAATATATTTAGAGCTGTTGCTGCTTTTGTGGTTTGGAGCTTTTATCTTGCTTCTCTCCCTTTCATACAGCCTCAAAGATAGAAAATTTGCCATAGCAGACTATGTTATATTGATCTCAGAACTCATCATTCTTCCTCTGTTGTACTCATGTTTTCAGAGAATGCCTGCTTTCACATAAAACATGCCTCCACATTGCTGTATGATCAATCCAGAGACATTCCAATTTATATAATCCTTTCTTCTACAGTCACAACCCACTTCCATGCCAATATGAAAACAAGTCTCTTGGACGTGAGATGATTACCTGGAGACCATGTTTCTTGAAAGCAGAGTAATTCGAAGAATCAGCCACACAGGTTGCTGAAGACAGTTAAAAATTGGCGGGCATTTTATTCCCCCCTCTACCCACTCCCAGATCAGTTGCCCCACTCTATTATAGCAAGAGAGAGAGTAATCACCATAATATCAATTCATTTGCAAAATTACAAAGAAATAAAGTCATTATATTTTGAAAAGTCAATGGTATTATGAAGCCGGTTGATCAGATATTTGTAAATTCAAAGGTACTGTACTGACTTTGAGTGTGACTGTTCCACTTCTATCTTCAGGTTCAGTTCCACTGACAGCAAAAGATTCAGCGCTGAACTCAAAGACACCATGAGCATCATCAGAGGCTTCAATAGTCACGATTATGTGAGATGCTATTCCCAGGCTAGCTAACAATACAAAGGAGGAAAAAATGAGACTCACCACATCTAAGGCAACAGACATGAAACAGCAAACCCTTGAAAGAATCTATGTTTTCAAAATGTGGAAGGGGTAGAATATTCTACACCTAGGTCATTCATCTGCTATAATTTGTTCACAACTTTCTTCCCTTGAGTACCAAATGTAGTATTTGAATAATATATATAATCACATTTCTACCAATGTTCTCTCCCAACCCCTTTGTTTTATCATCAAGAATATCCCTTTTATGTCAACACCTACACTGGTATGCACATTGCAGCATGCACAACCTGTTATGCTAAGAGCTACATCAAGGGAAAAACCCTTGATGTAGCTCTTAATCACCCTGTTCCCTTAATCACCCTGTTCCCATCTCCCTCTCGAAAGTCTGTCTGGCCTCCTAGAAAGCCAAGAGTCAGGGGACTCCAGTGAATACTCTATGTAATCAATGTTGCATGGATGCTGGGAGAAACAGAAGATCTGTTAAAATATGGTAAAGCAGAGTTTCCTTTCACCACAGGAGATCCCACAGATTTCTGCCCCATTTTCAGGAATCTCCTTTTCCCCTGCAGCCTCTTATCTAGCAAAGTGCCCCATGTAGTAGGACCTCCAGACTCTTGGGATTGAATTGGGTGTGTATGTGGAAAGTAGAGACTTTGCCAGCCGTTCGCTTTCACAGAAACAACTTTTTTCCCCTTTATTTTAGGCACATGAATTTTCACTTTCCTGGTGTAATTTAGCCGATTTTCATTTTATTACTCTCACTATGTAGGTAATGGCCAGAATCCTCCTTGGGACTTACACTTACAGTCATGGCGAAAAATATTGGCACACTTGCTATTCTGTCAGAAAATGCAACCCTTCTCTCAGAAAGTTGTTGCAGTTGCAAATGTTTTGGTACTCACATGTTTATTTCTTTGGTTTGCGTTGGAACAAGTTACTATTCATAACTTTCCATGTGCAAATGAGATAAAACTACATTTAGCCAGATGGAGTTCTTTGTCATACTGTTCTTTTATTGACTTTGGCAAATATTTATAAAGAGTTATAAAATAAACCATAATTCATCTCATTCAGGCTCAGATGCCTGAACCAATAAAAGAATGGTTGAAGATAAGAAAGTGGCCAAACCTTTCTGTTTTACAGTTGAAATAATAAATGGGAACGTTCTAAGAAAATATAGCATATAAACAGTTATGAACACTGAAGAAAAGGGAAATATCATGGAAGATAAGGTAAGCAGCAAGGGATAATACAGCAGCACTTTAGACTTCATATGCTTTTAGAGGAGGATATGCAATGGCATTTTGCAGAAGTCCAGTTGGCAAAAACTTTCATTCCTAACCTTTCAGTGTTCCTCTTTTTTTAAGCTAATGTCACTAAGATGAAGCTTCAACAGTGTTTTTGTTACAGTTAAAATAATGGAGATTTTTTGGTGGTTATGAATTTTAAGAACTCTTCTATGCCCCAGAAGAACTGACATTATCCTGGAAGTGAGTATAATCTGAATATCTTCCCCAAAGATATTTGACAAAGATAGGACAGGTTCTTCTATTCCCCGCTTGACTCACATATGCCTCTTCACATACATAAATGAGAAAGCAGGAAGGTTTAAAACAGCAAGACAACACGATCAAAGTATTGTCAAATGTGTGAGATTGGGTGTAGCAGCATGATTTAAAAATAAACCTGTCTGCAGCTCTTAAACTGGAAGGGAATAGAGGAAAACAAAACTAAAAATCAGATAACCTGTGAAAAATGCCTGTTTTAATTTGGAAGTAGGTTTTAGTTTGAGATGTGAGTTATTTAGAGTGGGTCTTTTAAAAAAAGGTATAAAAGGCCAAGTTCTGATGAATCTGTAAACTGATGTACATTTTGGAAGTAAGCCGCACTGAACATAGTAAAATAAATTCTAATTACAACAAGCATCAAATTGTACAAATATTGTCTAACAGGGTGCTGTTAGATTTTAAAGCATAACTATTCTAAAATAGATTTTCTGTGAGCAGAATCACAGTGACTGTAATCCTATATATTCTGGCTTGCCTAGCTCTACCATATACAGCGAGACTTTTAAAAAGATATACTGCAAAAGAGTAACTAATGGCAAGGTATGTCAGTTTCAACAAAATGTAAAGAAAGAAGTCAATATTAAGAGGGGGGGGAAACAGAAAAAGCAGCTTACCATGTTGATGGACAGCAGGAAGGAAGAAGTCCAAATCCCCATCACCACTACTTTTAAAAAGATATACTGCAAAAGAGTAACTAATGGCAAGGTATGTCAGTTTCAACAAAATGTAAAGAAAGAAGTCAATATTAAGAGGGGGGGAAACAGAAAAAGCAGCTTACCATGTTGATGGACAGCAGGAAGGAAGAAGTCCAAATCCCCATCACCACTACCACTGCCATCATTAAAGAGTTCAGCAACTTCAAGAGGACACACAAATACACAGAATACACAAATACACATATATAATGCAGATGACAGAAAGCACTTCAAAATATATCTGGGCAAAGAAGCAAACAAAAAAGAAGCAACTGGAAAAGCATTAAAATGACTTTGACAGCTGACAGAATATTGAGCAGCAAGGATACCAGGGAAAGATATTACTGTTTCATGTTACCCAATTGTGTCTCTTGAGATACTTTCTGTGATTAGGCATCAGTGACAGGTTCCTGATGTTTGATAAGCATACGAGCAAAGAAGTTTGAAAAAGAAGAATCTATACATAAAAATGATTGCTGCAAACTTTAGAGAATCATATGCTTCGGCAAAATGTAAACACATGGGGGGAATCAATTTTAGAAGTTCCTTTTCTGCCACTTAAGAAAGCAAACACAGAATGTTGTAGGTTACGTATTTCCCAAACTCTTGAAGGTACTGAATGTTAAGTATATATAGCTTGAGAAGATGCAACCACTGACTATAAAACTTGGTCTTTGATACTGATAAGTTTAATACACCTTTTAAAAATATTTAAATAGGATGAATCACCAAGGCTGTGGCCCTACTGTTTTAAATGGATTGTTGTACTTTACCGCTTTCGAAGTGTCTTGGTGTCACTTATGTTCTTGAATGGGGTGGCGTGCCTTACTGCTTTGAAAGTGTTTTGGTGTTGCTTATGTTTTTAGCATATTATTTGTTTGATTGTTTTTGTAATTGTATGCCCCCATTGTTAGCTTTAAGTACATTGTTTTAATGATGTAAACCACCTTGGGTCCTTTTTAAGGAGTGGTATAAATAAATAAATAAATACACAGGTGGCGATAACAAGGGTCCAGCCTCATGGGGCCAAACAGTCCACTCACCAATGCACTAAATGCTGCGGGGTCCGCACTGCTGTCCTATCACTCTGGCGATCGTGATCCATTCCTGGGAGGAGGTGGGATGACAAGCCTCTCTGCCAGGTCGAACAATTATGGAGCGACAGAACGGCAGCATGGGCCCTGCCACATTAGTGCAGCGGTGAGTGGACTGTCCGGCCCCATGGAGCAGGACCCTCGTTATCTCCACCTGTGCAGGGGTATTCCTATACAAATATAAATACCCCCATCTCTAATACATACCGTATTTTTCCGTGTATAAGATTACCAAAAGTATAAGACGAACCCTGCTTTTTCTAGCCCCAAATGTTAAAAAGCAGGGATCAAAGGGCTCCCTTTTTGCTAAGCCCCGTACCTTGGCAAAGGGCAAGGAAAGTGGCTGTCAAAGGGACTGCCACTTTTCCTCGCCTTTTGAGAAGGCACAGAGTTTAGCAAAAAAGGAAGGGGAGCCGTTGCTCCCTTTCCTTTTTGATAACGAGGCAGGAAGAGGTGCCTAAGTGTGTGCGAGTGCTTGTTTGCCTTTGCCTCTGCCTCCTGATGGGAGGGGACAAGGCAGCAGTGATCGGACAGGCGGGGGAGGCAGCAGCATGCATGCATGCATGCATGCATACATACATACATGCATACATGCATACATACAGTCCTAGAACAGTGTCTCAGAGGTTATAAGAATGGGCAGAAGCTGATTTCTAAATACGCTTAATATGTATTTAGAAGCAGTCCTCCCTCAAATGGTGCAAGTGGCTAAAGACATCTGTTACTGCACATGCTATTCCCGTGGTTGGAATTTATCTGGGCTTTGTTTTGGAATGGGTCCATGGAAGACAAACATAATCTCCCTTTGTACATCCCGTTGCTGAGTCACATGTCTCTAAGAACGTTCTGGGCAGGGGTGGGGCAGAAGAATGGGTTATTTGCAGGGAATATATGTTTCTTTTAATGTTTACTTTCACCCTCAGAATTCTTAGAAAGACCAGGAATGGTGAATTGGGATGGGGTATAAATAGGTAGGGAGAGGAAATAATGGAATCCTGTTCTTCCAGTCCCCAAAACTGCTCCTAACAAGAATGGGAATTTAGATCAGCTCAGAGGTGAATTAAATTCTCTAGGTGTACACAAATTCCCTGCCACTATTTGCAATAGGAGGGGATCTTGCAGTAAGGTTGGCTGTACTGTTACTTTCAAGATCTCAGAAAGGCTTACAAAATGTCAGAGGTTCAGACACTAGAATGATTAGTCTTCCTCCTCATTGCTGAAGCCTTGGATAATTATCTGTCTTGTCTGTCTGCCTGCCTGTATTTACAGATACATATGGACATACATAGCTGCATGCCAAGCACAAAAGCAATGCAAAAAGGTGGAATTTGTATCCTTTCATTTTCCATAATAGTAAAAGGTTTGATATCAGGAATTATCTCATGCTATGTAATAACATTCAACCATCCTAAGACATTCATAAGATGGTTGTGCTCAGCAACAAAGCAGATATGCAGAGCAAAGTGGAACTCTCTCACTCCCTTTGTGGAGAGAAAGTGCAAAGCTAGCTTTGAAAAGTCAAGTTAAAGTTTCCCAGAATGGTCACTTCCAATCCCCAAAAGAAAGCATGTACTTGAACACAAAAGGAGATCCATGAACTGTTACCTGCTCCATCTGGATTAAACAATTCCACTTTGAAAGCCTTTTCCAACTCAGGGATAGAATTATCTGTAATGTTAATGATAATGTACTTGAATCTTTCTCCCGGTAGAAACTCCAAGGTGCCTCGAGTTTCCTGTAGTGAAAAGCTTATTTATAGTTCTTTTCCCCCAAAATTTGTCATTACATCAGTGTATGTTTACCCAAACAATACAAACACTCAAATAAACATGCTGTGCCCTTAGAAATTATATACAAGCCTGCTCTGTTTTTGTGACAGCAAACAAGAAATTTCCTCTCCAGCTCAGTAGGGATATGCGAGCCTGATGGTACATCCATCAGTACTGATGGATGATGACAGCCCCCTAGCTCTTTCCTGTTTAAGTGTAATGGTAACTATGTCATGCCCTGAACCATGTGAGGATAGCTCAAGTGCTCTTTGTCCACTTGTGGAGAGAATTTAGCTGACTTCCCGCTAAGAAACAGCACTCTGAGTGGAAATCTACTTACAAGGAAAGCTCTCCTTGTTGGTAAGACCTTTTTAGGACTTACCTGACGGTTTGCTACAGAGCTCTAGGCTGTGCTCTCAGTTTTCAAGCCTTAAACCCTCAGTTCTAGGCTGACAGTTTCTAGAACAGCATCTGTTGTTCAGCTCCCAGATTTGTATTAAGCATTTGATTGCTGTCAAGATTCCCTTTGGACATCATGTGTTCTGAACCCTGCAGCTTCTTCAGAACTTGCCACTGAAATATTCAGACTAGAACCAATCCTTTTGAAGATTGTCATCACTGCAAGAGTCTTCGTTTACAGACAAGACCCAAATCTGTTACAGTTTTAGCTAAAGCAGGACACCTGTCTTCTGCACAACAGCAAGGAAACTACCTGTGCTTGAAAGGGGTGTCTAAAGATAGTAAAAAGGTCCCAACATTCTGTATACACTACTTCTTATCATCCATGATATAGAATAAGTGTGACTAAAATTTTGTGTGTGCAAGTCACTTGTGTGGGGGGAAGGATTGGAAGCTCCTCTGATCTCCAAAACTGGGGCTCACAACTATCAGTAACTTTAATTTCTGTAAAGCAATGCTTGGCTTACGTATGATCATGAGTTGGTACTGATTTTTGATGGTTATACAGTTCAGCAATAAACCTAGATATGCTTCTGCAGTTTGCATCCATCACCTCCTTTAGCCCCTTATTCACAAACCTGATAATCTTGAGGACTGAATGCTGTTAATGAAACGGTCATGTATTGTACCAAAACCATTCCAAGAAGGCCTTGTGCTCGAACAACAAGCAACCTGACATGTCCTGCTTCTTCCTTGACAGTGATGTGAGGGGCTCTGGAGGCTGGCAAGATGATTTTATCAACATCTACTGGAGGTGGCTCCACAGAAAACTGTAGCAAACCTGAGAAAGACAGGATTCAGATCTATTATTTTACACTGTGTAGAAATAATCTATTTATTTATAAGATTTAATTTCAGCTTTTGGAAATAACTAACACACACACACACTTGCAAATAGTTATATTTTCAAGTGTACTAGGCTGAAAGGAGGAAAGGGAGGTAAATTATATGAATTTGATCATTTAAGATGATTTCCAGTAAGTGTCTTTTCTGTTTCTCCATTTGGCAAAGATTCATAATGACTTTCTAGGAATTATTCATTCATTCAGCAGTGATAACTATAAGATTGGAAGGTGGGGCAGCATTCTACTTTCAATTCAAAGAATGAAATGCATCAAAGAGAGAGAAAATGGAGAAAATGTCTTTCACACATAGGAGGAAATAACTCTTCTAAAATGCTATTAAGAGATTATTTTTAATGGTCAAACTCCTCTTGTGTAAATTATGCCAGTCTAAGGACAATGACATCTCCAGTTAGAGGAAATTACTAGTAGTTAAAGAGTTCCTGCATTCATCCCACACAACTCATAGACAGTTAGACTGATTGTACACCAGTTGTGCAAGCCCCAGGATCAAAGAAGAAACTCTTTAGTTGGCAATCTCTCCCCTGTCGGTGACATTATCTCCCTTATGTTGACATAATTCATGAAACAGAATTTTGGTCACTCTTTTTTACAACTACTTGTATATGCATATACATATACATACAAATGATTATTACCTGATTATTCAAAAGCACCTTTAAACTCAGTCAAAAGTTCGATTCCATTAAACTTCAAAGGGCTTGCTTCTGAGTATTTGTGAACAGGACTGCACTAACACAGGCTGCTCTCCACCAACTAAAATTCCAACTAAAGAAAAAAGTGCTATGGGATGGTATATAATGCTGCTTATATACCATCCCATAGCACTTAAAGCTTATAAGTTAATTGTGCAGGCTACACACTGTCCCTCCCCCCTACTCAGCGAGCTGGGGACTCATTTTACCAACTTTGAAAGGATAGAAATCTGAGTCACCCTTGAGCCAACTACCTGGGATTGAACTCTGGGTTTTGGCTGCAGTACAGAAGTTTAACCACTGTGCCATGAGGCTCCTTCACCGTAAACTGTTTAAAGAAAGTGTGCTGCTTATATATAAAGCAAAGCATGCTGCTTATATACCGCCCCATAGCGCTTCAAGCACTCTCTGGGCGGTTTACAATTTAATTACGCAGGCTACACATTGCCCCCCCCCCCCGCGAGCTGGGTACTCATTTTACTGACCTCGGAAGGATAGAAGGCTGAGTCAACCTTGAGCCGGCTACCTGGGATTGAACCCCAGGTCATGAGCACAGTTTCAGCTGCAGTACAGCAGTTTAACCACTGCGCCACAAGGCTCTTGTGACACTCAGGTAGCTCCTTGAAAGTGTAGTGCAAGTATCCATGCCCCATGGTCTGAGCAGGAAGAACACCTTACTCCAACTGTTTTTTGGGAAGAGACACTCACTTGGACCACAAGCTATCCTTTTTGGGAAGAGACACTCACTTGGACCACAAGCTATCCTTAAATACAGGATTACAGATTGTATCTGAAGTGATGTCTGTCCACTGATGGAAGACTCTTCCACCAAGTGGAAGCTTCTGTCACTGGAAGAGAAATACATATCATTTTTGCAGATCCTATGTTTCATGGCATATGCACACCATATTCCCTCCAATCTGCTCCATTGGGTTGGGGGACCTTCCAGACCTTTTAAAATAAAATAGGAGCTACAGAGGGAATGGCAAATGGTTGACCACCAACTACCTCCCAGTTTTGTTGGCAAAAGCTTTTATGGCTTCTACAGAGAAACATCAGCCATATCATACCGGCTGTTTTTTAAAATATTTACAAAAAGTAAGAAAATAAATATTTACCAAATTATCAATTAATCAGCTGTTGACTATAAATTGTTCCCAGAAAATGGAAAAACAAAGACCTGTGAAATGTCTTTGTAAACAGAAGCTACATAAAATAACATCCATCATTATTACCATATGGATGGTCACTGGCTTTGATGGTGATGTAGGTAGTTTCCTTCTCTGGATCTATGCTTGCTCCACTAGCTGGAGTTGAACCTACTTTTCCATCTCCAGCAAGAGCAGACTGTAAAGTCACCTGGAAGTATTCATTCAATTCAGGAATATCATCATCAAGCACCTGCAAATTCAAAACCTAGAGAGGAAAGAAAATCCAAATTAAAGAAAATCACATTTTTATAAAAATATCTTTAACAATACATGGTATTTGAGTTTAAGCCTGAAAATGAATTGCAATCAATTTTTGATACAAGAGACTTAATTCAGGTTGAGGATACAGTAAGAACACATCATGTAAAATCTTTTCTCACTTTTTTTGTATTATTAGTATCTGTTAGGTTTATTTAATTATTTATAGGACATCCCATTATAAGGAAGTTATCTGGGCTGACTGAATATACCAAGAGTTTAAAAATAACAAGAATACAAGAAAGTAAACCGCAGCTTTAAAACATCAGTTTGGATCAGGAACTAACCAAGGAAAGAAATATCAAAGGATAAAAATTAGCAAAACTAAAACATCAAGCATTGCAACGTGGTCTTAAATTCTTTGGGAAAATAAAGAGGTATTTCATTTAAGGATGCTGGAGCATGTACAAGATGGACCTATCTGCCATGAGCATTCCTTAGCTAGGGTACAAAGCGCAGAAAAAGTTCAGACCTTGTTTGGCAGAGACAGTCAGCAAATTGCCTCAGATGAAAATCTCAGGGTCTCAGTAAGTATGTGTGGAAGACACAGTATTTCAAGTGTCAAGCTAACATGTTTCTGAAGTATTCATAAATATTTTACTACATGAAATGCAGTGCTAACACAATGAAACACCTCAACTGCTGTTGCTTTTCGGAAGGCTTCGATGTTGAAGTTTTCGATGTCGACTGTTTGGGTCTATGTGTCTTAGAAGTTTTTGATGAAGTGGAGGGCACATCAGAATGAGATGGAGTAGTGGAGGAACAATGTTTCGATGATTCTGCAATGGCTTTTTCCATGGCTTTAGCCTGTGAAGTGGTTTTACACGGAAGTTGAGCCATAGGTTTTACTGGTTGCAAAGACTGTTCCCAGATATGGAGTTTGAGTCGAGATGAGTGAGAACGGAGGACTCCTCATTTAAATTTTTTGCAATGAGAGCACGAGGAGGTTTGATGCGCCTTGCCTAAGCAAAAAAGGCACTTAGCGTGACCATCTGATAGCGGGATCTTATTGTCACAAATCACGCAGTGCTTGAACAGGCCAAAAGGGGCCATGAACAATTAAGAAAAAAGAAAAGACGAGAAAAGGGGGGGTGCGACGGCCAGAGGCGGAGGCACTCAGGAAAACTAAAAACAGTTCACAGAAGATAGAAATATGAGGCTCTTCAATGCAGCGGTTGAAAAAAACTGAAGGGAGAGTCCTCGTACCAAGGTACTTATACGGAGAGGGAGGAGTCTATTCTAATGTGGGTTTTGCTACCTCAGAAGCTCTAGAATACAGTGGTGCCTCAACTTATGAAATTAATCCATATTGGAATGGTGGCCATAACTTGGAATGTTCATAAGTCAAAGCACCATTTCCCATAGGAATGCACTGAAAACCAATTAATCCATTCCGGCCAAAGAAAAATATACCAAAAAAAGAGAAAAAGAAAGAAAAGAAAAGAAAAGAAACAGAGCAAGTCTCGTGCTGGGACTGTTAAAAAAAAAAAGATCCAAAAATAAACATTAGAGCAAATCCTACGCTGGCACTGCAAGAAAATCACCAAAAAACAAAACAACACAGAAACATAACCCCCCTAGCCCAAACCTACACTCCAAAACCCACCCAGAACAACTTTTTTTAAAAGGAAAAAGCAGCACCTTACCAGTCCAAAGCCTCCAAAGCCTCCCAGGCTTCTTCACCGCTGTGACCACCACCACCGGAGGCCTCACCGGCTTCCCCGCCACCGTCGAAGGCCTCCCAGGGTTCCCTGCCACTGAGACCGCCACCGCCGGAGGCTTCACCAGCTTCTCTGCTGGCATCGGAGGCTTTCTGGGCTTCCCCACCTTTGCGGCCACCGCTGCCAGAGGCCTCAGCCGTGGCAGTCATGGTGGCGGGGAAGTCTGGGAGGCCTCCAACGGCAGCAGGGAACCCAGGAGGGTGACCCCAGCCAGGACGGTACGGCGGCTCACCTCCCGGTGGCGGTGGCAACAGTGCTGGAAGCCGGGAGGCTGAGCCTCCCTTTTCCTAACCATTGGAATGAATAAGCATCCTCTTCGCCACCAACTGTTTGAATTTCCCACCCTTTCCCCCTGCCTTTTTCCGTTTGTAAGTGGAAGCTCCAGCTGCAAGTTGAAGCAAAATTTTGCGGTCGGAACTTTTCATAAGTCGAAATTTTTGTAAGTAGGGACATCCGTAAGTCGAGGCACCACTGTATTCCAAAGAGGCTCCACACAGGTGTGGATCACTCACAGTGTGATTCACAGAGTCCACAAAGAAGAACACTAATTTTATCACTGGTAGAATTAGTTTGAAAACATATTATCTGTCCTGGGAACATGTTTGTAGCCATCAAGAAATATAATTTCTGTATACATGTATAGCTATGAGACTTATCAGGGCATATATAAAAACAAACTTCCCAAATTTGAAAGCAGCCATGAAAAATTATCTTTAGTGAGTGGCAATATTTACCTCAGATCTCTGGAATGGAAAGAATGTGATCATGCCCCTGGTGTTAGCAAAATCAGCAACCAAGTAATTAATTCCATCAGAATCCACCTGGGAGATACTGTAATACACAAAAACATAGTCCAGAGCTCCTCTTGTGCGCTCCACTACACAAGATACAGTAGAACCTTCATCGGCAACCTGTAAACAAACATTTTAATGAACCTAAGAAGATATGTTTCAGATTTGTCTGAAAGAGTAACGTAATTCATGATATTCAAAATCATATTTCTTCAAATACCACCCCTATCTTAGTGTGAGTTCTAAAGTCTGAAGTTCCTATAACAACCAAGGTGAATGCAAACTGTTCAGGAATGGGAGACAAAAGGAGATGGTCTCTCAGTAGAACCAGTACAATGTCTGTACTTCTCTGGTCTCCTATCACTACCACCAGATGGGCTGGATCTAAACTAAATTACTATCAAGCATTACATTCTGACATTCTTACCTTCATTTCCCTTGCCCTGCTGCTGTTTGTACAAGGCTTGCCAAACCTTTACAGTATCTTGGCAGTTCTATTATTACACAAAACATGTCCTCAGTCCACCATTCCATATCCTCCTGTTCACTGTTGTTCCTAAGGCCTGTGCATCTTATCAAAGCGCTGCTTCATCAACTGTCACCAAACACAGAGCTACAACTCCATATGCCAGGAGCTCTACATGACTGCTTTAACATATGGCACCAGCTCAGTATATATATATATGTAGAAAGTATCTGTGCCGGTGCCAATAGTTTCTCAAGAAATTATGTTGAAGACCTGAAGAATTTTCAAGCAACAAGACCAATCCACCGATGGTTGCTTATTTGTGTTCCAACAACCGTAAGAAGCAGCTAACACACTGGAGTTATTCTACTTTCATAATAGATAGCATGAGTATTAAATTACAAATTATACACGACACCTGGAATTCTCATTTCTGACTCCAGAGAATGACGGTTATAATGTTCAAAATTTTAGAATGATCAGAGTTTTCCCCATACCATCCCTATCATTCTCATAACTCCATCATACATATTTGTATTATGATCCCCATATTGTAAATGGTGGACTGAAGTTTAGTGGTTTAGAGCAGGTGTCTCCAAACTATGGCCCAAGGGCCACATCTGGCCTGCCTTGCCAATTTATCAAGCCGTTCCCTTCAGCCCGTGCATGACACAGGGCTAGGCAGGCATGTGTCAGTGTGGACGTGTGTGTGTGTGTGAGAGAGAGAGAGAGCATGGGGTGCATGCATGTGTGTGCGTGTGCATGCAGGCAGGCAGGTAGACATCTGTGCAGGCGGGCAGGCAGGTGGGTGGGTCGATATCCATGCGGGCAATGGTGTGTGGAAGTGGGCATACGCATGCACATTCCTTTGGCCCTCAAAAACATGAAAAAATACCATGTGGCCCTCAAGCTCAAACGGTTGGAGACCCCTGGTTTAGAGAAAAGCAAAATCACTTAAGGGTTTGCACCTGAGGCAGAACTTCTATCAATAAATTCCTGACTCAGAGTAACTATGAAGTACAAGACTAGCACGCAAGCATTCCTCAGATCTAGAGATAGGCCCAAACTGCTAGTTCGGTGGTTTGCACCAGTTCATTTTTTGTACAAACAGATATTTGGTGCTTTCCAGCCCCACCTCATGTGGACAGCCACTCAAGGCAGCACTATTGTACCTTTACACCCCATTTGGAGTGACTTTAAAGATGCTGGAGAGAGCCTTGGGTTTATATGAGGTGTTGTAATCATTCTTTAAGGCAAACGTCTGGTAGATTGGGGATTTAATGTAAAGTGAGATAATATAATTGTTTCTTTCTCTTTCTATAAACTAATAAAACAAAATTATGGTGACGAAAGCAAAAAGGATGAATCTCTTGGACAGACCTCAGAAGTGGCTAAACTCATAAATCAAGATTTATTTATTTATTCTATTTATATCCTGCCTATCTGGTCATTGTGACCACTATATCCTGCACTGTATTTTAAAAGATCCCTTTTAAAATACAATGCAGGATATGCAAACTAACATTACCAAACAAATTTTGGAGCAGATGCAAGAACTAAGAACAGATCTCAGAGCCGGAATTGAATGCAATAACGAGAAGATAGACACCTTTACACAGGTAGTCAAGAAAGTGGAACAAAGATTAACACAAGCCAAACAAGAAATACAACATATCAAAGAAGAAAAAGATAAGGATCAACGTCTCCTAACTTTGGAAATGAACAAAGCCTCATATTTTCTTAGAATTCAGAATGTAGGAGGATTCTGAAGATTTATTGAAAGAATTGGTCACGCAAACAGGGATAATTCAAGAAGAGCTGGAACAACCTATAGAGAATTTATAGAGTGGGGAATGTTTTTACAAGGAATAAGCTACTAGAGATTCACTTAAAATTTTTAAGGAAATCAGTGAAGGAGAAAATACTGAAAGTCATCAGAAAAAAGGACTTGACAATCAGAGGCACTAAGATTAATGTTTTGAAACAGGTGCCTTAGAGTATGAGGGGGAAAAGACAAGAATACTCTTTTCTTAATAAAATATTAATAGACAGGAAAATTCCATTCACATGGCAAATACCTGAAGGAGTATTTCTGAGCTGGGAGACAAAAAGATATAATTTGAACAGCATAATGAAGACCAGGAACTTCATGAAAGAAATGAAACATAAACTGAAGCTGACAGAAGAAGCGCTACAGTTTTCCAGTGAGGAATCAGAAGAGGAACAAGAAGAAGTAGAACATAAAAGACAAAGAACTCCACCTCCATCAAGAAGAACCAGAGACAAGGAAGCTAAGGATAAAACTGGTAGTAAAAGTTGTGTAGATGTCTAAACAAATTAAATTACTGTCAGTGAATGTCAAAGGGATGAATTCACCCCAGAAAAGAAGAAAATTTTCAATAAACTTCTTAAAGCCAGCGTAGAAATCATATACATTCAAGAGACTCATATTAAGGAAACAGACAGAAAGCTGTTAGAAAATCCAAAATTAGGCAAAATCTTTATAACCTCAAATCAACAAAATAAGAAAGAACTAGCAACGTACATTAAAAAAAGGAGTTAGAACTGAAATTAGTACATGCATCAACAGATGGAAGAATATTAATGGTGGAAATCTCTAAGGAGGGAGAAGAAATATTGCTGGTGAACATTTATGCACCAAATGAAATGCAACAAAAATTTTATCAGCAACTGAAGAACCAGTTGATACAAAGCCCAGAAAAGAAAATGTGTATTATGGGTTTTTAAATGCAATAATTGATAAACAAAAAGACACTTTGGCGACGAATCGAAACAGAAGGAAAAGAACAAGAAATATCATCCCCAAGGTGTTTTTGGAAATGGCAGAAGAACTAAACTTTATTGATATCTGGAGAACCAGGTACCCTCAGAGAAGAGATTATAATTTTATTCAAATACACACAATTCATGGTTGAGATTAGATAATTGCTGGACCTCAGTGGAAATTACAGATCAAGTGGAAGAAATTGAAATATTACCGAACATATATGCAGATCATAACCCAATAATGATGACTTTAGGACAAGCAGTAAGAGGAGGTTGGAGACTAAACAGACATCTATTGAGAGATGAGGCTTTTCTGACTAAAATAAAAAAAGAATTAGAATTTTTCTTTCAAATTAATAAACCTCAGGATACAGAAATGACAATGGTATTGGATGCAGCCAAAGCCTATTTTCGCGGCTTTGACATAGAATTTAATGCACAAAGGAAAAAAGAGAGAAACAGACAATATCAAATTCTAATAACATCTCTAAAGAAAGAATAAATGGAATTAAAGAAAACGACTACAGCTAAGTACCTAAAAAACATAATAAATATGCAACATAAAATTAATTTATTAGAACATGAAGAAATGGAAAAATAATTAAATTTGCAAGGCAAAACTTTTTGAGAATGCCAACAAACCAGGAAGATGGTTAGCATATAGAATAAAGAGAGAGAGAGAGAGAGAGAGAGAGAGAGAGAGAGAGAACAATGATCAATGGAATACTGGATAAAGGATGAAAGGAAATATATAAACAAAAGGAAATTGAAAAAGAAATTAAAAACTTTTATACCAATCTTTACAAAAAGAAGGAGATTAAACAGGAGCAACGATGGAACTATTTGGACTTCTGGATTGGAGATTTAGTCCTCAACAACTGGAAAATTTAAAGAAACCAATCACAGCAAATGAAATTGAAGAAGCATGGAAAAAACAGGAAAATGGGAAAGCCCCAGGACCAGATGAACTCCCAGCTGAATACTACAAAGCATTCGAAGAAACTTTAAGTCCATATTTCAAGAAATTAATAGAAGATATGGAAACTAGAGGGGAAATCCCAGATTCATGGAAAGAGGCACATATCTCCTTAATACATAAAGCGGGGACAGGGGAAAAACAAATCAAGAATTAGACCAATCTCTCTCCTGAATGTTGATTATAAGATATATACCACCATTTGGGCAACAAGGCTAAAGGAGGTACTTATAGAAATGATACACAAAGACCAAACAGGTTTCATCCCTAAAAGGAAACTAGCATAGGCATCCTTCAGTCTCGAGAGACTATGGTAACATGCTCTGAATCGAGGAGTGTCCTCTCCAGAGCATGAAGCCCGGGTAAGGTAATATGGAGGATAGGCGGTTACCCAAGCAGCAGATCCCCCCTCTCCACATTGCTGAAATGGTCCAATGGGAAGGCAAGAGCCAATACAACTGGTTCCAGCAATGTCGCAGGAGTTGGCAGAACGACACATGCTGCCTTCGGGACTCCAGCTCCGGATTTTGCCTCGAGGTTAACTCCTGAAATTGGAGGGTCATGATGTGAAAATGGGTTGGCATGCATATGTGTGGTATGGGAAATGCAAAGAACAATTACATTTCGCAGAATATATTCTGAGGAAGGCACTCTGTTTAGTATGGCAAAAATTTCAAATACAAACCTACAAGAAAATTCCAATATGAGTAGCACCAATAGAGGCATTTATACTGAAAATATTGAATCAGAACGGAGCATTACTCACGTATAAAGGCTTATTAACTAAAGACGAGAATATGAAAGATAAACAAGATCTAGAGAAACTGGGCCTTGCTACAGATTGGTGGTCAATGATGAAATTAGAATCGAGATACAAAAAGGATAAAACTATGTTAAAAGTCCAGGTGAATGAATTATGGATTTACACTAATGAGAAAATAATTTAAAAATGTCTACATACTTATTAGAATATGATTTAGAGGGTGAGAGGGTGAAGGAGGCCATGGTAAAATGGGCACAATAGTTTGGGTACAGTATTGATATTGATGAATAGACAAAATGTGGAAAGGGAATCATAAAATGATTAAGCCACTGAATCTTAGAGAAAATATCCTTAAAATGTTTCATAGATGGCATTTTACTCCTGTAAGATTGGCAAAAATGTCAGAAGGGATCAGTAATGTTTGTTGGAAATGTAAAAAAAAAAATCCAGGGACTTATTATCATATGTGGTGGTCATGCAAAGAAGCAAAAAAATTTGGATAGAGGTTTGGGAAATGGCAAAAGAGATTGTTCAACAAAAATTAAGTTTTAAACCTGAAATGTTATTATTGAATATAATGCCAGAAATTATTGATAAGAAAATAAAATAAAGTCTACTGTATATATTCACAGCAGCTAGGTTACTCTGGGCCCAAAAATGGAAGAATACAGAGACACCAACGTTGGATGAGTTATTAAAGGAGCTGCTGGATAATGCAGAACTAGATATGCTTTCAGAGGCACTACGGGATCAACCAAGAGACTCTGTAAAGCAAAGCTGGAAGTTGATATATAATTGGGCCCAGAAAAAGACAGAAACTTAGGGGGGCAGTCAGTTTATAGCGAACCAGTGCTCACCGGAGTCCTCTGAAGATACTCCGATGACCAGACAACAGTGAAATCTCTGATCCATAGGGGAAGGATAGATGTTTAGTTTGTAATGTTTTTGTTACTTATTTGTTAGAGTCTTAATGTTTTTAAGTTTGTATGAGTAAAAAAAGACAGCACCCAGAGGAGGAGGGGCAGGGAAACTGGGCCACTGCCTCTGAGTGGGTGCCTGCCATAGGAGGTGAGGCTGGGAAGTGTTCGGATAACAAACGAACTGGCATGAACCACTTAAGTGGTGGTTTGTGCCTATCTCTACTCAGAGCCATTGATTTCTAGTTCCATTTCCTACCTCTGGAATACATGCTCCTGTGAAACCAAACAGACCATTGGCATTATCGCTCTTCTGAATTCTTAATGTTGCTGTTGTATTTTCTTGTGAAATCCTTGCTCCTCCATGAACAGAAATAAGCTTAAGGATGAACAGCTCTTCTCCTTCTTCTTCTTTATCATCTCTGGCAGAAACAATGAATGACTTATTGATTTCTTCCTGTCGATATTCTAAGTACCCAGAGATGGGGTGCAAGTCAGCCCTTGCTGGAGTGGTATGAAGTTCATAGATCTCCTCCTTAGTTAATTTGCGCTCATAGAGTCTCACATCTTGCATCAATCCTGTGTATCTGCTGCCGCCATTTATGCCAGCACCAACTCTCATTATTCCTGGCCCTAGAGAAAAGACAAAAATGACATATTACATTTACATCTGAACTATTATAAAAAATAAAATTCCAAATAAATAGCGCCTCCAACATACATGTGCACCAAATCAAATGCCAGGCCCCTGCTGGTGGGATCAGGACTACCAAAAGTAATCCAGCAGCAATTTTTTGATATTAAAAACTCCCCAATCCCCATCCCAAGGTTCCCAAAGGTTTGCACAGGTTTAAAGGGAGCTGTAGGAAGACTTGGAACCTGAAAGGGGAATGCATAAGCAGCTTTCAATTCAATTCATTTCAATATTACCATTGTGGGATGATGATATCCTCCTACTTCTACAATGTAAAGTTACACCAAGAGAATTTCAGCCAGTGATTTAGGTTATATTCCATTTATGTGACCATAATTTGAACAAATCAGACTTGCCTCATTTCTGAAAAAAATGAAGAACTGTGACTCCAGTGGAAACTTTCTATCTGTGCACAAACTTTACATTCAAGAAAGTTCACTCTTGTGGGAAAACATGGTTTCTATTAACCTCTGAACCAGATCAGTGAGAAGGTAAAATACCTAAAATAATCTATATAATGATTTACACAATTGTAACATTTATAATCTGCTATTCCTGAATGGAGTTTGGATCTGTCAGATACAAGAGAAAAATGAAGGATTGGCATTGGGCATGTTGCTCACCATCAGCAATTGCTTCTCCTTTGAGGCTCTTAATGCTTCCAGGCACAGGCCTTCCATCCATTAAAAACTCAATTATGCCATCATCCAATGTAATCAAAATATGGAACCAAATATTTTCCTCCAAGTATTTCATAACTGTTATCCTGGCCATGTAGGTCACATTAGACTGAAGTGGTGTATAATAAAGCCTTACGGAAACGTGGGATTCATTTATATGGATTTTCACCCCATAATACATTGTTCCATTGCCATTGTCCTTTGCTATTATGAATCCTTCACTATTAGTGCTAGGAATTACCCAGGCTGAAAATGTGAAATTGCTAAGTGTTCTGTTCTTACTGACATGGAATGCAGGATCAACTATCCCATATGCATCCTCATCACCACTAAAATACAATGCATCTGTTCCAGTGTGATGACGCCTCATATGAGGCTGTGACTGCACTGAATTTGAAAATTTCCCAAGCAGTAAACAATCAATCATCATAGGTAATCCTTCTTTGAACTTGCTGGAGAGTATTTCCCATCCAATCCGGACATTTCCAAAAGTTCCCTGTTGCCGCCATACTGTGAAGTTGGCAATGTGGGACATGTCATCTTCAGACAGAACATCTTCTGCTATCTCCATGTTTTGGCTTTCAGGATCTAAGATAAAGACTCCAAAGGGGTCATCATTGAATGGGATCATCACAATCACCGAAAGGTTGGTTTGGGCTAATTGACCACCAGGACCTGGGAACCCACCTGAAGCACAAAACAAGAAAAAAGGTAAAGACATGCCATATGTCACTTTCCTACAAGTTTCTATATTGCTTACCATTTCACCCTATCCCTTCAACAACTGATTAACAGCATACATTATATCTCTTTCTTTGCCCCATTTCATCACCACCACAATCTTTCCAGGCAAACAATAATGTGAGATGGTCACATGCCCAAAATTATCATGGCTGATGGGGCCTGGAAAAATGAACTTCTGAGCCTAAAGATTCAATGAACTGCCCTAATTGGATTAGTATGGCATGAACTCTCATGGGCTACCCTCCATCTCTCCTTCCTTTTTTAGGTATAGTGAACTTTTAAAAATACCTGTGACAAAGTGAAGTCTTTTGAGAAAGCAATAAACATTAGCACCTTATGTTGTCCTACAAATGGTACAAAATGACAGATTATCATCTGTAAACACAAATTCCATCTTAATGATTGTATAAAATATAGACTTTTGGGGTCTGACACCTATTCAAGCCCTTGGAAAAAGTCTTAAACATGTCTTCTCTAAGATACTCAGATTAATCCTTTATCACCAAAGAAATTAATTCTAATTTATCTCCTGTTGACTCGTTTTTCATTGCTTTCTTTACTGTTCCAGTTGATAAGGGAATCGGAGTATACCTGAAGCATTCACCAACTTTAGGATGTAAAATTCATTGAATTCGGGAATTTTATCAGGAATAGCATGAAGGGTTATGGGTTGGGACCAGATGCCATCTTCAAACCATATGGTCCCAGAGGCTTCACAGAATTCTTCTCCGGGAGCCAACGCAGAATCATTTTCAAACAGCTGCCAGGTCAAAGAAACATTGCCAAAGTGACCTCTGTGCCTCAGAACACTGTTAGACACAAGGACAACATTTATTAAGCCCACAGGAAATGCCAATAATCAATCAAACAAAGAAAGAGATAAGAGCAATATACATAAATTTCATCATTCCTCACATGATTTCTCAACAACACCTTCATAAGCAAAGAGCATCCGGAATATTTATCTATATTTGCAGCTGAATCCTAAAGGAGTTCCTCAATGTAATGCAGACTTAGAGGTCTGGGGTATGTCTTCTTTTCCTTCCTTTTAATTCCTACAGAGGCCCTGTGTTCATTCTTAATTAGATAAAGAAGTCTGATCCAAACCTGGCCTAGCTCCAAAGAGCTACTTTAGATCTGCCCAGGAACAGCACTTATCCAGCAGAGGATTCTTTAATTTATTCTCTTGAGCACATGCTTCCTGTACATGCAACCCATAGCACTGTTGAATACACATGTCTAGCTGAACGGAATGCTGTCCACTACCAGAAAACATTATGCAGGACTACATCTAAAATCTCTTACAAGTACAGAGAATTTTTTTTTAAAAAAAAAAAGCTGTTTCATTATATGTACAAAAACCAAAACAAAGGCATACAGTTCTATTATAAGAAGAGTCAGGGCTCAACTGGCAGTGAAATACAATGTGTTAAATTAGATATTGCCCCCTTCATGTGCAAGAGTATCTACAGTCTGACACATCTCCCACCTGAGCAAGGACTTTCTGAACAGTTCAGGACAGGCTCTGTGCATGGATCACTAGGCTGTAGGCCCAGTTGGCTGTGATGTCACTGTTAAAAGTTTTTCCTCATCAGCAATTCTGCATCTACTTCAAGATTCCTGCAGTGCTTAATACTGCCCTAAATTAACTTTAACAGAGCAGTCCAAACTTTTCATAGCTTGTTCAACGCATTTATAATACATTACAACCACAAGACTATAATAGTACGTTATTTTGGAAACAAAAGTCAGAATCCAATTGCCAATTTTTGCTTGTGCTAAGGGAAGTCTTGGCAGCAAATTCACCATCATTAACAAGGTGTCAATCAGGCGTGCACACAGGAACACAACCAGCACCTCATTAATGATTAGCAATTTGATACTCAGACCTACATTGCTTCCTTTATATAAGCAGTAATTGGCAATAAGATGATGTGGTGCAACATGTACCACTTGCTCTCAAAAATGAGAGAAAGATGCCCACAGCGTTTCTTCTCCTAGTAACTGAGGAAGTTTGAGGAAGTTGCCAGGAATGCTTTAGTGATAGATGTTTTGCCCAGGATAGGAAACTCTGCATCATGACTCACTTGTCCCTTTTAAACTGCGCAACTGTGCATAACAAAGGCCTGTCTTCTCTTGGAGTGTTAGGCTTTGAGAAGTCTGACATAACAATAAAACACACATCCCTCTAGACTTAGCTACACAGTTGAAAGAGCGTTCGACACATTAAAAATAAAGCAAAAGGCACTAGAGGAACAGAAGAAGCAATAAAAATGATAATAAAGAAAATTCTCTTCTCTATTTAGACCAGTGTAGTTATTGGAGGTTCACTAACTTTATTTCTGTGGCCCACCAATCCACTTGTCAGCGAGTGTCAATGGATTGTACACTTCCTGCTGAGTTAATTGGCACCATAACAAGAATCATCAGACAAGCAAAAACAACTTTTTAAACCCTGCTGCTCCTGGATGCACCCATGAATGAGCATGAATAATAGTTGTTATACCTAAAAGCTATATAAAGTTTTTAACGCCACATGGACTTTGATTATGTTAAAAAAGGATCCTCTGCAATTAACCCCTATTCATGTACGAAAACAGACATCAAAACTTTTATTTAACAAAAGAATGGTTTGAGGTAAATTGTCAAAGCATCATGTATGTTGACAGGTTTTCTACAACCTTCTTATTAGTGCCATGACTTTCCCCACATTTTCCTTTATATTATACCTTATATGTGCATGCATATTTGGTAGTTGTTATATATTCATTTCACAGGTGTCATGTGTAATGTTATATTTTTGTACGTTTTACCTTGAATTCATCTATCAGCTCAGCCAGTCATTTTGCAAAGAGATGCCCCAAATTTTACAGTATAAACAACTGTAAAAACATACCTAATAATATAGTAAAAAACAGTATAAACATACCTAATATTATCTTATAAATCCTGTTCTCCAATGGAGTCCACCTTATGTTCTTCCTTATGCCCCAAGACAGTATCCCAAATAAATTTTCTATTTATTTTATTTTAAGCAGGGTTTGTTGTGATGTAAGCAAGGGAAAGATGTCTCACATCAGTGTTTCAGGGGGGAGGATTCCCTTTGGTTTGGTCACAAGCTGCCTGTGCCTCAATCCAATGTATAGAACAGAATCATAGAATCATAGAAAAGAGAAGTTGGTAGGGGCCTACAAAGCCATCAAGCCCAACCCCCTGCTCAGTGCAGGAATACAATCAAAGCCTCTCTGCCAGGTGATTATCTAACTTATCTAAGAAAAATGATTGTGTGTCCAAAAGATGACATGGAAGGGACTTGGATACTATATGTAGCCACTTTATGAAGTTCCCAACAATGTGCTAAATATTTGTATACTTTATACCTTTATACATCAATGGTTTTTCTCAAAGTATACAAATATTTAACATTTTCCTTCTCTCTCTGTCTCTCTCTCTCTGTGTATGCGTGTGTGTTTGTGTTTTACATCACGAAGAAACTGATGCAACACTCCCAAGTTGCTTAACATCCTACCATGATATAGCTACTTAGAAACACTGCTGGAAATGACAACAGTTACTTCCTTGAATATTACTTACAAAAAGTCATTGCTCTTGCCTTCTTCCACTGCTTTACTAGTAGTCTCCAATGAGAAAATACCATTTGGGTCATCATTAGCTTCTATTATTACTGTTGCCATGCCAGATCCATAGACTACTGTGTCTCCTAAGAAACAATGTTTTTTTGTTTCAATATTGAGGTAAAAATTAATAGCATCATACATGTGAAGGGGGGCAGAATCTCACCTCACACATGAACAGTTGTAGCCTAATGTCTCCTTTTTCCCAAGATTCTACATAGGTGGTTCAGACCACCTTTTCAGTTTGAATGTCAGAGAAAAACACCGATGTACTTGTTTTACCTCAGGGTATTTCAGGGCATCAGGTTTGCACAAGGTACTCACACAACAGCGAATACAAGTAGGTCTAAATTAAGACATGTTTACCAAATTTTTGAACATATTAGATTCAAGTCTATCTATGTGGGAATATACAAATATACATAAGTTCCTTGCCAGAATTATGGCTACATATTGATTTTTCAGGACATTCAAAAGTGGACACAATTTTGCCCCTCCATGGCATCTACGGAATAACTTGTCTAAACAGGGCCTAAAATCAAACAGCCTTTGGGGACAGAAAACAAGGCTATAATACATAGAAAATTTTACTCCTAAGCCAGTATCCTGATGACTGCAAAGGGAGAGGCTCCCTTTGCCAGCTGTGAGAAGAATCATCCCCATACAAAGCACAGTTTTAGCCTTTACAGCCTAAAACAAAAACCAAGTACTGTACTGTATGATTGTGATCTTCTACAGCAGGGGTCAGGGAACAGGGGTAAATTACCCCAAATGGGATAAAAATGAAAATCCTGGGGGTAATGAGGATGGTTGTGGCAGCATGACCCTCCTCATTACCCCCAGGCATTTTATTTCCGACAATATTGTGTGTAGGTGGGCATTCCGTCGCGGGGAGAGTGAGCGCTGGTGAGGAGGCCCCCTTCCCGCCCCGCCTCACCTGAGCTCATGACCGGTGGACCTGCCGGCACTGCGGTGCCCAGCTCCCTTCAGCTTTCCCCATGGCGTGGCGGCTCCAGACTGGCTGCTTGGGCAGCGGCCGCAGGCAGCGGCCACAGGTCACAGGTGAGCGCAGAGGCGGGGGGAAGGGTTGGCCATGGATGGTGAGAGCAGAGGGGCAGTGCAGGGAGGGGGAGGGGTAATGTTGGCATATATAAATTTTTTTGGGGGGGAGATAAAAAAAGCTCCCTGACCCCTTTTCTAGAGCTTATCCTAGGTTTCAAAGATCAAGGCATTAGGATGAGAGAAACAACTAATAAGTACAGAGTGATTATTAGGGACTTAGGGGTCAGCACTAATGGGAAAAACACAAAACAGGTTCTAAGGGTTCAATCATACCTGCCAAAAGAACCCCAGTTATGCCACGTTGTCCATTTTTCAGATCATTTCAGAATTTTCTGGTCACGCAACACATGGCCAACATTGATTCATTTGCCCAGCAAGTGGTTCATTTCCCCCTCACCAGGAGGGTTACTTTAAAATGTACCGATTATGTATTGCTTCATTCCTTATCATTTCAACATGTCCGAATGTTGCTGTTATTTTCTTTGCGAAGCGGTCAGGTTTGGGGGTACTGTGGACACTTCATGTCTACTCTGCTTGTATCCTTATATATATAACGGTACAAGCAAAGTACCCTTATATACACTCTCTTTTTTTAACCCTGCTCTTCACAACACTTTGCATGTCTTTTAAAACCCACTTTCTCCTCCAAACACTATGCAAAAAGGGAAAGAAAAATAAAAGCCAAGAACTGCAGAGGGATAGGTATGCAGAGAAATAAGGAAAAGGGAAAGAATGAATAAAGGAGAGAAGCTTGTACCACTCTTTTGCAATACCAATATATTACTTTTCTTATTTTAAAGGACGGGGATTGTCCCAAGAAACAGCAGAGAAAATTAATTGATTCTAATATATGGAGCAGTGTAGCCAGCTACAATGGTTCAAATAGAAAGAAATGAAGTAATACAGTTATAAACAATGTGAACGCTCCTGCTGATATATATATCATGTGACTGCTGAAAAAAAATGTATCGGTAAAACAGAGGTATGAAAGCTGGGGGACAATATACAGCCTTGCCGTATCAGAAACAAAATCAAGCCCTTACTTCCCATTTTTCACTCTTTTGTTGATTTCTGAAAGACAACCTCTGCAATCCACATGCTTCATTTTAATGAAAGAGAGTATCACAAAAGCTTTCAGTTCTTTCATGCTTTCCATTTTCATTTGCCCTTTCCTTCAACTCTTGTCTGGCAAATCATCCATGTAAGCTTTACTCAAATAGGGTAGGGTGAGCTGCTGATGGCAGCCAGTCATTGGGGGAGGGGGGATTTTGAGTTTTAGAAGGGCTTGAATTCTTTGGAATCCAATAAAAAAATGTTCTTTCCTTCAGTCTTTATGAGTGAGTTGTTTGTGCTGCTGAGGTTCATCACACCCTCAATCTTGCTTGTGCTCTCCATCTGTGCCCATGCCTGTGGATCCTTTTTGCCTTCTTTTCAGGTTTTTTTTTTATTCCAACCCCCCCCCACACACACACACACACATTTCTAGTGTTAATATTTTTGCTGCTACCAACAGGCAGCCCACCTGTGGTGCCAGCATGAGTCCTTGTGACCATTTTTCAATTTCTTGGATAATTTCCCCCTCTCTGCCCCCCCTTTCCTTTCCTGGATTATTTTTTCTGCCTATTCCCATGTTCTAGTGATTAACTCAAGGAGGATTAGGGATCAATAGAAGCGGGAGAGAAATTCCCCCATATTCTAGTCATTTTGGTTTGGGACAGGGGGATTACTGTATAATTTCCTTTTTTTGCTTTCTTGCTTTTCTTAATAATTGTGTGCCACCGAATCAGTTTTGACATGGCAACCCTCTTCAGGAATTTCTAAGTAAAGAGTACTCTAGAAGTGGTTTACCATGCCCTTTTTCTGGGAGCATCCTGGGACTGTGCAGCTGGACCAAGACCATGCAGGCTGGCTCTTTCGGGAGCCACAGTGGGGAACTGAACTCCCAACCTCTTTCCAACCAGCATTAGCAATTTACTGTGGATTGCCTGCCTTGCCTCTGTTTTTTAAAAAACTGAGGACATTCTGCAACTCATCTGGGTTGAGCAGTCAGGCATTTGACCAAGACATAATCCCAGTGCCTTGTCAGTTAGCCACACTTAGCCATATGCAGAATGTATGTAAACACCAATAGGATTTTGGTTATTATTTTTTGTTATTTTTAACCTCAATCAGGTTTTTTTTTTATTCCAACCCCCCCACACACACACACACACATTTTCTAGTGTTAATATTTTTGCTGCTACCAACAGGCAGCCCACCTGTGGTGCCAGCATGAGTCCTTGTGACCATTTTTCAATTTCTTGGATAATTTCCCCCTCTCTGCCCCCCCTTTCCTTTCCTGGATTATTTTTTCTGCCTATTCCCATGTTCTAGTGATTAACTCAAGGAGGATTAGGGATCAACAGAAGCGGGAGAGAAATTCCCCCATATTCTAGTCATTTTGGTTTGGGACAGGGGGATTACTGTATAATTTCCTCTTTTTTTTGCTTTCTTGCTTTTCTTAATAATTGTGTGCCACCGAATCAGTTTTGACATGGGAACCCTCTTCAGGAATTTCTAAGTAAAGAGTACTCTAGAAGTGCTTTACCATGCCCTTTTTCTGGGAGCATCCTGGGACTGTGCAGCTGGACCAAGACCATGCAGGCTGGCTCTTTCGGGAGCCACAGTGGGGAACTGAACTCCCAACCTCTTTCCAACCAGCATTAGCAATTTACTGTGGATTGCCTGCCTTGCCTCTGTTTTTAAAAAAAGTTTTTAAGGGTTCTCTGGGGATTTTGAATTGATTATCTGTTGCCAGTCTTGCCCCAATTTTTAAAGATTATTTAGGGCATTTGGAGAAGTGCCAGATGGAACATGAGCTGGCCCTTTTTGTATTTAAAGAAAGGACCGGTACTCAGAAGAACTAAAAAAGAATAAGGTATCCCCTCCCCACCCACCCCAAAAGAACTCAAAATGAAACAAATTGGAAAGGTTTCCATAGGCATTTCCCTAGTGGTTATAGTACTTGCTGCTCTGGATAGGCAGCCCACCTGTGGTGCCAGCATGAGTCATTGTGACCATTTTTCAATTTCTTGGATAATTTCCCCCTCTCTGCCCCCCCCCTTTCCTTTCCTGGATTATTTTTTCCGCCTATTCCCATGTTCTAGTGATTAACTCAAGGAGGATTAGGGATCAACAGAAGCGGGAGAGAAATTCCCCCATATTCTAGTCATTTTGGTTTGGGACAGGGGGATTACTGTATAATTTCCTTTTTTTGCTTTCTTGCTTTTCTTAATAATTGTGTGCCACCGAATCAGTTTTGACATGGGAACCCTCTTCAGGAATTTCTAAGTAAAGAGTACTCTAGAAGTGGTTTACCATGCCCTTTTTCTGGGAGCATCCTGGGACTGTGCAGCTGGACCAAGACCATGCAGGCTGGCTCTTTCGGGAGCCACAGTGGGGAACTGAACTCCCAACCTCTTTCCAACCAGCATTAGCAATTTACTGTGGATTGCCTGCCTTGCCTCTGTTTTTAAAAAAAGTTTTTAAGGGTTCTCTGGGGATTTTGAATTGATTATCTGTTGCCAGTCTTGCCCCAATTTTTAAAGATTATTTAGGGCATTTGGAGAAGTGCCAGATGGAACATGAGCTGGCCCTTTTTGTATTTAAAGAAAGGACCGGTACTCAGAAGAACTAAAAAAGAATAAGGTATCCCCTCCCCACCCACCCCAAAAGAACTCAAAATGAAACAAATTGGAAAGGTTTCCATAGGCATTTCCCTAGTGGTTATAGTACTTGCTGCTCTGGAGCCATTAAAATGCCACATAATAAACTAAGAAATTCTTATATTGCAAATTTGCACAACAGGTGTTGTTCCTGAATCCCTGTAAATTCATGCTTTTACCTGTTTCTGACCATCTTTTTTCCTCTTTTATTCTAGGCATTTGGACATATTACATAATATACATTCTATTTCATTATTTTAATATATGTCACAGAGATTGAAAGAGGAACTAGCTCTTTCTAAAAGTTAGTAAGAACACAAGCAGCTGGCTGTTTTTGTTTGTTTTTAAGCATGCAATATTATAATCAACCACTCACATGGATTTAGATATAGTGTATGTTTCAAAAGAGGTATAAAAATGTTTCAATGTGAAGATAAGGGCTCAGGAATAGTAGAATATAGGCAACAGGAATAGCCTAATGATCATCAGCTCTCCAAGATATCAGCCACAATATGAACCAAATAATATTTAAAAAGTGACAGCTGCTTAGTTTATATGGACAGAATAATCATTTGAACCTGTAGAGTTGATGAGAATTATGTAAAAAGTCTCCTCTGTCTCAGGGATATCATCATCTTTGATGAACACAGTTATATTCTGCTCTCTTATTCCAACATCAAAGAAGAGCACTCCACTTTTCCCACTAGGAATGAAGTCTCCCTCTTCGGCACTGGCTCCTCCATTAACGGTAGCATACAAAACTGAAACAACATCAGCAGCAGAGCCATTTCTAATGACTACAAAATTAGCAACGTCTCCTTCATGGACCTTTATTAAAACAGGATCTGAAAAAGAGATAAAAGACAACAGAACCATTACAGCTCTGGTACAAATATTGTTTCTAGCACTGCATAGAAAAGGAAATCTATTAAAAAGCGAAACACACAAGGTGTCTAGCACAGGAGAGGTGAATCTGTTAAAAGGTGAAATGCACAACATGTATTGCTGAATGTATTCACTCCTCTAGTATCTTGCAGTTAGACCGTAAAGGGTGTGAGTTAACAACCACGAGCCAGGCAAAGATTTCCTCCTGCTGCTGCTATTAGTATCATCTGTACACCACCTTTTTACATCCTGTTTGTCAAAAAAATATGCCTTATAGAATAATGTATAATTAAATAATTAAAAATGATCATGGCATAACAATAGTGGCCCACTTTAGACATCACCTCAACCTTTGGCCTGCACTACTCACAGTTAAAATCATAGATAATGGATTGAGATTGTGACCATACACGGGCAAAGCACAGTTTCTGCTTCCATTTTCTCCACATTCACACTGAGCTTGAAAACTTACTTCCTACATAACATGTGCAATGCTGACAAAGGTCTTTTCAATAAAGTACAATTTTGGACATAAGGTCAAACCACACTTCATGGCTTATAAACTAGCTTTGAACAATCCATGAAAGTTCACATTAGAATCCACCATAGCGGTAGGATTTTTATGACACGTCATTTTTTTTATGGCTTATAAACTAGCTTTGAACAATCCACGAAAGCTCACATTAGAATCCACTATAGCGGTAGGATTTTTATGACACGTCATATTTTTTCCTGCAACCTATCTTTGAGGTATTGGGTGGTTTGAACATCTTAATGAGTAATTTGGTGAGAAATGTGAAATGTCATAGAACTCCTCTAGTACTAGTTAGTCTTTAATGTGTCACAACGTTGTTGTCTCTATATTTGAATGGTGGATAAACCTGATTTCTCACTCCTTTGCTAAACAACAAAAAGGAATAAAATAAACCAAAAGCAAAAACATAGCAGCACTTGTAAGGCTAACAATGTATGTCCCGATAAGAACGTACAGCAGATGCTCCATGTGTCTGAGGAATTGGATTATATCTGCTACAGCTCAGATTGAAATACATTTATCAATTACAGTTGCTGTTTTTTGTTTGACTTTGGCTTTGTTGTTGCTACAACAAACCAACTTGGGCACCTCAGTTTTACAAACCAAGTTCTAATAAGACTTCTAAATTTAGCCAGTATCTAATGTGAATTTGAGATCAATCTGTGTCCTTTATTCGTATTTCTTTTGTTTTTCAGAACATCATCCATTTTTCAACACTGAATATTTAAATATAAGCTACACAGGACATACTTTACCTGCAAAATAAATTGGATCATCATTTTTTGTGATCTGTAAGGTTGCAGTGGTTATATTTCCCATTCTAGCACCTCCTGTAGCATTGAAAAGACTAATGATGAATACCTCCATTTCTTCAGGTATCTGCAAATAATCATATTGTTATGCTACTTCTAAATGCTACAGAATTAAAACAGACTTGACAAACACTAATGCTTACAAATTATGGAGCATAGTTAAATAATAAAGCTTTTAAGACAAAGCTTACAAAGCAATGAAATGTACGTTTTCATTATTAATGTTTAATAATATGCTTATAATAGAATGATATACTACTAGACTGAAAATGCGCTGAATGTTTCCATTCAGGAAACTGGGAGCTGGACATCGTCATGGCTTTGGATGTGGCAACTCTAAACAATGATGTCTTGTTGCATCCAATCTAGCCTCCCAGGTTCTCCACTCAAAAGTTATTCTCCTTTTTGAATTTCTTTTTCTATTTATTTTATTTTGAGCTGTAAGCATCTGCATTTGTTTTCCATTATGTGACCGAAGTAGCCTAGTTTTCTTCATTTTATGTTTTGTGATTTATCCTTTCTTCATCCTTCTTCATCAGTCTTACTACTTCTGAATTGGTCATTCACTCACTCCAAGAAATTCTTAGCATCCTGACATAAATTCACATTTTAACTGCTTCATTTCCATATTGCTTGTGTTTTACAGTCCCCTGCTATAGAGTGGGAAAGAGAATAAATAAGATCATACAATGTGACTTGCTAAATTAACTAATTTATCTCTTCGTTCATTCAGGTCATATAATGCTTTCTTCATCCCGAGAAAACTGCTTCGGGCCATCACCATTTCAACTTTTATTGCACAGCTTTCAACCTCCTATTAATTTAACCAACAAGTCTCTTAGGACATGTATCGATCAGTATATATCACACATTCTGGCTCTTTAACTACATTTCTTAAGCTGCTTTCTTTTTACTAATTCCCATGTACCTGATTTTCTTAATTATCTTTTTTGACTGTGTTCGCTAATTACTTTTTTACCTTTCTTGCATATCCTTCACAGACCATCTAAACTGTAACTAATATTACTGTATTGGGTACATATATATCAAATATTATAGATAATCTCTCCTCTGACAATAATGCCGCCTAGAGTGGTCATTCGACTGGATAGGCAGGGTATAAATAAA